AGCTTGGAGGCTCAGTGGATTAAGCCTTGGCCTGCAGTACCAGTGTTCTATGTCAGACTACTGTTTTGAGTCTCAGTTGCTCCAGCTCCCTGGTAATGCTCCTGGGAAAGAAGCGAAAGATGATGTAATTACCTGAACCCCAGCCACCTACAAGGGAGGCTTGGATGGAGTTCCAAGGTCCCTGGCTTCCACCTGACCTGGTCTAGCCCAGGCCTGGCTGTTGTGGCTATTTGGGGAGCAAACCAGCACATCAACATCTCTCTTTCCTTGTTTCTCTCTGTCACTCTGCCTGTCAAATTAAAGAAAAAAAAATCCTTTTTTTAAAGTTCATAGAAAACTTGAATTAAAAGTCTGTTTTCTTGCAAAAGAAAACAGAAGTTCATGCATAGTTTTCTGATGGCCACCCATAAGGGTGTAGGGTCCCATCTGCTGCTCTCCCAATCCACAAGCAGTGGGCTAGATGGGAAGTAGAGCAGCTAGGACATGTGGATGCCAGCAGAAGATTCGCTTGATATGCCACTACGCTGGTCCCTTCTTGAGCTTTCCCAGGTGTATTAGCACGGAGCTGGTAGGGAACAGCCAGGACTATTAACTGGCACCAGGCATTCCATCCAAGGTAGCAGACTGAAGCACTTATTAGGAAGTTGTATCAAAAGCAGTGCAACCTGAACTCAAACCAGCACTTGGATATGGGATGCCAGCATCACAAGTGGTGACCTAATCCACTGTGCTAGGGACAGCATGATGGCTCAGTTAGCTAATCTGCTGCTTGCAAGCACTAGGGTCCCATTTTGGTGCCAGTTTGGGGTCTAGCTATTCCACTTCCCATCCAGCTCCCTGCTTGTAGCCTGGGAAAACGTAGAGGATGGCTCTAAGGCTTGGGGCCCTTACCCATATAGGAGGCCCAGAAGCTCATAGCTCCTGGCTTCAGCTCAGGTCAGCTCCAATGCGGTCATTTGGGGAGTGAATCAGTGGATGGAAGATCTTTGTCTCTCTTTCTCTCTGTAAATCTGCCTTTCCAATGAAAATTAATCTTTAACCCACTGTGTGACAGTGCCAGCCTCAGGATACATTTTCTAATTATATTGTATCTCCTCTTTGGAGTGGCTTGAAGTAGTTCAGACTGAAACAATTTTTAAAGATTTTTAAGGATGAACTTGGTGTAAAGGATGAAAAAGAACCGTTCCTTCCAAGCGTGACTGTTCAACACCTAAGCCCTAAGCCTGGAAGGGTTCCTGGAAGCCAGGCCATGAGGGAAGTGCAGGCACCTGCCCAGGCTTCTTCTCCCGTACTACTTCAGTGCTGAGAAAGTTTTCCTGTAGAGAATGCATTCTCTTCCAGTGGAGTGTAGGACTGTGCTCGATCCCAAGAAAGCCCAGCGACAACATGAACAGTCTACAATTCCACTGAGCTATCGTCTATCCACCACATCCCAACCCCATGCAGCACTCCCTGTCTTAGGTGACAGATGGTGTGTCCCTAAGTCACCTGATAGAAAATAGACCTGACCATGGTACATGGCACCACCCTCCATGGACTGGCTCTTGGTCCAGGGAGAGTGTAGGAGGGTAGAATTCTAGATTTCAGATGACAGAGAAATCAAAAACCATGGTTTTGGCCTTGACGTGCCAAAGATAACAGGAACGCCATATAAAGGGAATAGTCAGCACTGAGTAATGTTATTAGGCAGCAGATGCATCCATTCATCTCCTCCTAACAACCTCCCTGGGGAGGAGGGATTAGTGTTTACACTTCCTGAATAAGAAAGCCCACGCTCATTTGCCCAACAAGGAGGGAAGTTAGGGGCTCCAGGCTGCATGTGTCTTTGCATCAAAAACCTAGTTCATTCAGTTTAGAAGTTCTGAATTAAAACTTTCCTAAAGGGAGGGAGTGTGAGAGAACGTCCTGACTCCATGCAGGGTCTTGTTGCGTGGTGACCCACCTAACCTGGGATGAGAAGTTACAGCACCCATGGGTCGGGGGACCAGGCACCTGTAAATCTCCCTGCCATTTCCATTCACAGGTGTTTAACTTGAGTGACTAATCCTTGGTCACAGGCAGGTCACAAGTGATTGTCTGTGATTTGTCTATACTGAGCATATAATTACATATCAGCTCTCCACTGGCCTCCTTCCCAACCTCTTTACTTAACCGCCACTCCCTGACGCCCTTCAAAATTCCAGCCACAATCAAAACTGCTCAAAACATGCCAACCTTCCACCCCTCCAGGCAACTGCAAGTGCTGTACCCCAACTACCCCTGGACACCTGCCTTGAATGCCCCTCCCCTCATCCCATCCTCATGGACAAGTGACCTATCTTGGGCCCAGCACAGTAGCCTAGAGCCTAAAGTCCTTGCCTTGCACACGCCAGGATCCCATATGGGCGCCAGTTCATATCCCAGCAGCCCCACTTCCTATCCAGCTCCCTTCTTGTGCCCAATAATGCAACAGAGGATGGCCCCAGAGCCTTGGGACCCTGCAACCACATCAGAAACCTAGAAGAAGATCCTGCCTCCTGGCTTCAGCTCAGCTCTGGCCATTGCAGCCTCTTGGGGAGTGAATCAGTGGACTGAAGATCTCTATCTCAGCTCCTCTCTTTCCAATACAAATAAATAAATCTTAAGAAACAAAAAAAGACACCTGTGTTCTGTTCTCCATAGTACCCCGCACACACCTGCTTTGTACCACAGTCCTTTCACTCATTAGTGAGTGGACTCCTTCCGCACCTGTCTCCCTTACACAGTGCTTGAGGTAGTTAAGCGCTGAATGGACATGGTCAGCGGGCACTTCTGTGTGCTGTGTGCCTGGCACTGTCCTAAGCGCTGGGTACTTAAGACTTTCTTTCTGAAGGGCAGGAAGCTTGTCACAGGGGTGGGCATTTGAAGTCTTCACTGTTGTGACAATTTGGATTTTAATCAATTAGGTTTTGTCACAGGCAGTGAGGATTTGTGTGTGTGTGTGTGTGTGTGTGTGAAATAGTGCCTCAAGGCTTCTAGGTCAACCTGTTGTTCACTCTTTACTGATCAGAGAATACAAATTAAACCTGTGTTCAAGGCTGACCATCTCCCTGCCCCCTTCCTCATCCGCACACTGCTTCTCACTTATACAAGATCAGTGGGAACTGTCATTTCCAGAATAGTGTGACTTCTAATGACAAGCACATCCACAATAAACTCATTCACAAACAAGAAACAGCTGGGAACGGGTGAGCATTTGGTCAAGTGGTGAAGATGCTCCTGACTCCCCATCCCTCGTGGGTTCAGTTCCAGACTCCTGTCCCCAGCGCCCATAGCACAGGCCTGGGGAGGCAGCAGGGATGGCTCCCACGTGGGAGACCTAGACTGAGTTCCTGGCAACTGTCTTTGCCGTATCCAACCCTGGCCATTCACTATTTGTCTAACTCTCCATGTCTTCACTCTGCCTCTGAAATGTTAAAAACAAAAGTAGATAAATAAATTTAAAGTATCACATCTCTCATATAACCCAAAAATCAAGAAATCAAAAATCCTAGAAATCAAGAAATTCTCTTATATGATATTGTTCACATGTGGACTTCAGATTGTTTTCTGTGTACATATAATTAAATTATTTAAATTAGAGGATATGTTGTTTTGTTTATAGCTGGCTCATTTTAGAGGGGAAGGAGTGCAGTAAAAACACACACTCCTGTGCCAATAAGTGTTCAACAGAATTCTTCAGACTGACCTTACACACATGGCTTCTGGGGGACACACTTTTTAAAAATATTTATTTTTATTGGAAAGTCAGATATGCAGACAAGAGGAGAGATCTTCCAGCTACTGATTCACTCCTCAAGTTGCTGCAATGGCTGGCGATGAGCCCATCTGAAGCCAGGAGCCAGGAGCCTCTTCCGGGTCTCCCCCATAGGTGCAGGGTCCCAAGGCTTTGAGCCATCCTCGACTGCTTTCCCAGGCCACAAGCAGAGAGCTGGATGGGAAGCAAGGCCACCGGAATAGAACCGGGACCCATATGGGATCCTGGTGCATGCAAGGAGAGGACTTTAGCTGCTAGGCTACTGTGCTAGGCCCACATTTATTTATTTACTTATTTTTAAAGATTTATTTGTTTTTTTTTAAAGATTTATTTTATTTTATTGGAAAGGCAGTGTACAGAGAGGAGGAGAGATAGACAGGAAGATCTATCCAATGATTCACTCCCCAAGTGGCCACAACAGCCAGTGCTGTGCTGATCTGAAGCCAGGAGCCAGGAACTTCTTTATGGGTCTCCCATGCTGGTGCAGGGTCCCAAAGCACTGAGCCGTCCTGGACTGCTTTCCCAGGCCACAAGCAGGGAGCTGGATGGGAAGTGGAGCTGCTGGGATTAGAACCTGCGCCCATATGGGATTCCTGCATGTTCAAGGCGAGGACCTTAGCCATTACGCCCTTGTTTGTTTATTTGAAAGGCAGAGTGACTCAGAGAAAGAAAGTCTTCCATCCCCAAAGACTGCATCAGTTAGGGTTGGGCCAGGCCAAAGCCTGGAGCCCAGAATTTCTTCCTGGTCTCCCTCTTGGGCTGCAGTGCCCAAGCACTTGAGTCATCTTCTGCCCCATTCCCATGCATATTACCATGGAGCTGGATCAGAAGTGGAGCAGCTGTGACTGGAACCAGCACCCACGTGGGATGCTAGTTCTACAGGCTGCAGTTTAACTTCCTATGCCACAACTTACTCCCTAGGGATGCAACATTTTCAACAGGTCCTACTAGTATGAGTGAAGAGGTCAGAGAGTGAAACGTTTTGGATACGAACTGAGTCTTTATTCTGTAGCTAGTAGTGGGCAGTGGAAGGTCTACTGTAGGGGAGTAAGCCAAGGACTGTGTTTTCTGGAGATTCTACAACAGTGTCTGCGGAAAGGAAGGAAAAAGGCATGAGCCCTTGAGCCACTCAAGCAGGGTGTTCCCTGGTCTGTGGGGCACTCTCTGCCCAGGTAGAATGCTCTCTCCCAGCCTAACGCCCCCTCTTTCATCCTGTGTCTTTCAGAGCTGGCTGAAGTCCTACGGCTACCTGCTGCCCTCAGACTCCCGGGCGTCTGCATTGCTCTCGGGGAAGGCCTTGCAGTCAGCAGTCTCCACCATGCAGCACTTCTATGGCATCCCTGTCACTGGTGTGCTGGACCAGACAACAATCGAGTAAGATCTGTGTGGGACCTTAGGCATTACTACTCTCTGGACTCAACATGGGTCATGCCCTTGTCTGTCCTTTGTGCATCTGCCATGCCCATCCTACCTGTCTATCTTCTCCTGCAGGAACACCATGGGAAATCCCCAAGGTGCCAGGCAGGTACAGTGGTGGGAGTCTACTAGTCAGCTTTTTGTTACCACAACTAAAGTATCTCATCAAGGAAGAAAGTTTCTTTTTCGCTCATGGTTTTGGAGTTCTCAGTCCCTGGTTCAGGTGGCCCTACTGGCTTGGAGTCCGACAATGCTCTTGGGTGGTGGATCCTGTGTGGAGGGAAGGTCATGGATGAGTTAGGAAGCAGGGAGAGAGAGAGAGAGCATGTGTACTTGTGTCCACGTGGGCTATCCACACAGAGCCATCCTGACTTCATCCCAGGCTTCACCCCTGTGACTTTACTCAGTTCAGTTCACTACTCACCTCTCACAGACTGCTTCAGACGCTGTCACTGAATGAAGGCCGTTAACCATTAACATAAGGTTTGGAGGACCAAGGTCCTAACACTCTGGGCAATTTCCCAAGGCTCCCAACGAGTGAAAAACACAGGCTCAAAAGGAAACTCTGAGTCTCCGGCGCAGATATTTGGGGCGGGCAGGAGGGGTAATTGTAGCATCTACAACAGGCCCGAAGATGGCTGCAGCCACTCAGGGAGAACACCAAACGGAAGAAGAGCAAAAGGATGGGGAAGGAACCCCATGGAGCAGGCCAGGAAGGAGCAGCTGGAGAAGTAGTGGAGGGGTCAGTAAGAGAGGCTGTGGTTAACCTCAATGGAGTAGTAGCATGGATAGGGCAGCCAGCAGCGGGGAAGGGGACGCATAGAGAAGGTCATGGAGGAAATGTTTCAGAAGCACAGTGGAGGAAAGTTGGAATGATGGCAGTCACCGAGGGAAAACATTCTTTGTTTCAGATGAGAGAGAGAGAGAAATAACTGCAAATGATCCATGGCCCACCAGGATAACTATGATGACAACGATTAACTGAATATTTCAAAACAGTTGGTGGAAAGCAGTTTGAAGTAGCCATAAAAGCTATTAAAGCTGTTCAAGAAAAACCATGCATGTCATGAGGGTGTGGACCAGAGCTGGAGTGAGCTTCCTAAGGAAGTATTTGGCATGGGAGCCCTGGCTGGGGTGGGAGGAGGTGCAGAGTTGGGAGAAGACACTGCAGGTGGCCTGGAGGGACAGGAAATGCCCACTGCTGAGGATGGAGCATGAGTTCATGCCTTGGGTTAGGTCATTCCTTGTCAAAATAATTTCAGCATGTTCATTTACCAAGAAAAGAGTTGGATTACAGCTCTCAAATGCTAATTCCATTAAAATATGCTGAGTTTGGAGTTTTGTGATTGCCAAGTTCTGTCTGGATGTTTGCTGGTCCTAAGGTCCTCTCACTGCAGGGGGGAGCAGGTCTGAGATCCTGCATCTGATGACAACCAGGGTATCATGAGCACAGTGCCTCCTTGGCCCTGTACAGTTCTCTGGGTGAGGGGAGCCCAACCACCTTTGGAGGCAGAGGTTATTTTGGGGGTCTTGCGCAGGCCTCATCACAGCACACCCTGGGCCAGGAACACTGGTGTCTCTGCTGAGGTACCACCTGGCCTTGGTTTTACTGTTCCAGAAAGCCCCAGGCAGCTTGGATAGGGTTCAGAGAGTGACAGGTGGATGGGGAGAGAGGGAGGCAGAGGGACCAAGCTGAGGGAAGAGGATGGCATCCCCCACTTGCAGTTCTGCCTGGATTTCTCAGTGACAAGGCGAGGGAGGGTGTCATGGAAGCATAGGGCAGGTGCATGGGTGGGATTTAGAGATGTGAGCCCCAGCTCCCACTCTGGGACCTTGGGCAATGGCTGCTTTTCTCTGGGCCTGTCTCCTCCCCTAGGGGCCCTTGTCACAGCAGAGGTGGCTCCTGGGTTCTTCCCAGGGACCATGAGGGAAAGGAAGCATGATCAGCAATGTAAAGCACTGCTTTGTGAGTGTCCTCCCTGGGAAGCAGAACACAATCATTCATTTATCGATTCCATCAGTATCTTTCCTTTGACTCAACCAACTGCTGATTGTGTAGGGAATCAAAGCCCAGGTCCTTCTCTATTAGATTGCATTAATTAATGTTCCATGTACTCATTTAACCAAGTTCTTATCTTCTGTTTTCAAGTTACTCAGTGTATCTATATATCTTCTCCTTCATTTATAAATTGAGGATAATTTCTTATTATACTACAAGGGTGTAACAAGAACCAAAAATGTCATAGGACATACTGAGAATTCACATTGCATGGTTGTGCTACCACAATGGCTGCAGTCATTGATTTCTAAATACAGAACACCCTGAAGGCAGTAAGAACACAGAGATGGAAAAGAATTGGTTAACTCCCTCAAGAGACTTAATGTTTGGTGACAGCAGTCTCCGTCTTTTTCTCTCTATTGCTAATGGCAGCTTCTTGTCACAACAGCAAATGAGGTTGGACTATTTGCTTTCCCAGTGATGCCAAGCAGTGGTTTAGCTGGTTGGTAGGCAGCACAGGAACAAGAAATGCAGGATGAACTTGGCCAAGATCTTTTCAATATGTCACCCTGGAAGCTTGATTTAAAATCCCCAGCGGTATGTTCTCTTTGGCAGCACATATACTAAAAGTGGAATGATACAGAGAAGATTAGCATGGCCCCTGTACAAAGGTGGCATGTAAAATCCCCAACAGTGCCCCCAGACTTCCTGTTCCCTGATGTAACTTTACCTGTTAACACCCACCAGGATTTACTTAGTTCCAGATACTGGGCTGAGTATCTAGGGACACTGTGATGAATATCACACAGCTTTTGTCCTCAAAGAATTTACAGTTCTTTAGAGGCTAACAGCTTTTCAATTACAATACAGTGTAATTGTATTGAATTGGAGAATTCTGACTCATTCATTCAATCATGATCAGATTCTTTCTCTGTCAGGCTCTGTACCCACCCTGGGGTGCCGGCAAGGTTCCCAGCTTCTTGAAGCTCAGAAACTGGCAAAAGAGAGACTAAACAATAAATCACATGTGTATTTTCATGAAGTGATAGAAGCTGTGAAGAAAACTCAGGCAGGCTCATCAAATGGCCAGGCGATGAGGCAGGTGAGGCTGCTTCAGAGGATGCTCAGGAGAGACAGAGTGAGGGAGCAAGCCACAGAAAAATGTGGTGAGGAGGAAATGCAAAGTCTCTTCAGTGGTCATGGACTGAATATGTTCAGGGAATAGTAGGAAGGTCACTGTGGCTGTGCTCCTTGGGGATGAAGGGGTGAGGTGGCGATGTGGGATGGGTAGGCATGGGCTGGTGCAGCTTCACTTTTATACTAGGTGTTCTGGAAAGACTGGAGGCTTTTATACCAGGGAGTGTTGTGACCCAACCGCATTTGCCTCCTTTGAGATTCATGGCAACTTGCAGAGAGCAAGAACCACGATTGTTGGATTGCAGAAGAGAAGGGGGTCAGGGGAGTTGGCTTTGATTCTGTTGCTATGCTACAGCTAGAACTTCCTGAGCTGTGTTTTCTGATGCCTAAACTCTGCCACGAAATGTTGTTTCGGTGTACATGGTTGGGAGGAAATGAACTCGTGAGCCAATCAGTCATCCACGTCCCTGTGGGGTTCATAATGCACGCTAAGGGTGCATGCTGCACCGAGGATTGAATAGTGTCGTTGTTTGCTGACATCAGCATGTATGTTTGTGTGTCTGTGTGTCCTCTCTGCCCAGGTGGATGAAGAAACCCCGATGTGGTGTCCCTGATCATCCCCATTTGAGTCGCAGGCGGAGAAACAAGCGCTATGCCCTGACTGGACAGAAGTGGAGACAAAAGCACATCACCTACAGGTGCCCTAATGCCCTGTCTTCTTCCCTATTCTTCCTCTGTGCTTCCAGCCCTCATACTGTACTGGGTCAGAGGATGGGGCAAGGGTCAGGTATGCAGCCATCAGGACCAAGTGCACAGAACCAGTGACTGACCTCTTATGGCCTCTGCAGGATACTTGGGCTCCACCTTCTGGTTTATCTGGTCCCTTGGGGCCTCACCGTTTGTGTTTTTAGTTACAGAAAGGGGAGAGGGTAGACTGTCCAGTAACTTTCAGCTGTACTCAAAAACCATGGCTGAACTCATTCTCCCAGCCAATGCTTGCCAAACTCCACTTCTTTAATCTGGATCCCCATCCACAAACCTACCCCAAATTGACCTGAAACCAAGACTTCCAACCCAGAACCACAGCCATCTTTTGAGGAGCAGAAAGAACTGGGACCTGCCCTAAGAACTGTCTGCAGAAAGTGGGGGCACAGCAAGATTGGGCTCTCATTCTGAGTAAGGATCAGCAACAGGGACCATGGGGCCACTCAATAAACTTGGATGTCAGAGTTCAGGTGGGGCTGAGGCCAGGCCAGGCTCAGGGGGTTCTGGCTGGCACCTCCTAGGGCTCTAATAGCATCTGAGTTGGATCCCTTGGGTGCGGGTGCAGGATCTAAGTCAGAGGTTCTTAAAGAGTTTAAGCCATGGACTCTCCTGCTGACTGAGCTGCAGAGAGAGATCAGAACAGGCTTTCTTCATAAAGCTGATGGGAGAGGGGAAAAGACAAATCTGGGTTAGGAACTGAAGAGAGAAGATGAATCTAAAAGAACCAGGATCTAACCCAACTCTGACCCTGACGTCTGTCACTCAGCCTCGCTCTACTTCAGTTTACTGACTGCCCCTGGTGTTCATGGAGCAGAGCACCCATAAGTAATGATGCTCCATTTGTGCCCGACTATGCAGTGTGGATCCAGCAACCCTCAATACCTAAGCTGACAGCACGTCACGTTGGAACTCCCCCACAGTAGTTGGGACCTAAATTTTCTTAAAGATTTATTTTTATTCAAAAGGCAGATTTACAGAGAAAAGGAGAGACAGAAACATCTTCCATCCACTGATTTACTCCCCAAATGGTCGCAACAGCCAGAGCTAAGCTGATCAGGAGCCAGGAGCCTTCTGAAAGTCTCCCATGCTGGTATATGGTCCGAAGGATTTTTCAGCTATCCTTTGTTGCTTTCCCAGGCCTCAAAAAGGGAGGTGGATGGTAAGTGGGGCAGCTAAGACTTGAACCCACATGGGACTTGGTGCCCATAGGGGATGCCAACACTTGCAGACTGAGGATTAGCCATTTGAACCATCATGTTGGTCTCTGGTGCCAAAGATTTTTTAAAGGGAATTCTGACTTAAATTCTTCTATTTAACAATGACTCTTCTAAGTGCGTGCATTTTCTACATTGGGAAAAAAAACTTCAAATTTAGACAGTGCTATCAACCAAGTTGGGTTTTTTCCTATAAACTGGAACAGAGTTCCTTATTCAACAGAAAATTTGTCAGAGATCAAAGATAAAAACACAGATGAAAGCAAAGCTACTCTGAAGGGGGGGGGGGGTTCAAAGCTCTGCCTGCTCAGTGACCCCTAGGCCAGATGGCAAAGTTATGGGGTTCAAATGCAGATTGCACTGGGCTATGTGGTCTCTGACACCCCTTTCAGCTCTTCGAGTTGCTCTGTCCTGCCCTAATGATCCCCCAACTCTCTTGCCAGCATTCACAACTACACCCCAAAGGTGGGTGAGCTGGACACCAGGAAGGCTATTCGCCAGGCTTTTGATGTGTGGCAGAAGGTGACCCCACTGACCTTTGAAGAGGTGCCATACCATGAGATCAAAAGTGACCGGAAGGAAGCAGACATTATGATCTTCTTTGCTTCTGGCTTCCATGGTGACAGCTCCCCATTTGATGGGGAAGGGGGATTCCTGGCCCACGCCTACTTCCCTGGCCCCGGAATTGGAGGAGACACTCACTTTGACTCTGATGAGCCGTGGACACTGGGAAATGCCAACCATGATGGTAAGTCCAGGAGGGGGTGAAAGTAGGGGGCATCCTGTATTGCCCAGCTTCCAGGGAAACATCCCTGAGGAAGAGCTTGCAGGACTCCATGGGCGAATTGGCTGCATTCTAGAGCTTTTTCTCTAAGAACTAGAGGATGGGCACTGTGTCTCCGTGGATGCATCAGGTTCAGAGCCACAGGGATGGGACAGGTCTCTTAGGAGATGGTCTAATTGGACTGGGGCAAGAGGGGGTGGGTTAGGCCATGAAGAAGAAGGCAAAGAAGAGTATTGGAGGTAGAAGGAAAAAGTGAGAAGTGGGGTCAGAAAGAGGCAGGTCTGCAAACACCAGCTCACAAACAGCCTGCTTGCCTCACTCCTTTGGGTCAAACATAGGCCCAAAAGCTATTCTAGCGTCCATGAACAGCCTGCCATGTGTCACCATGAGCCAGTCAACACCATGCAGTGAGAATAAGTGGAACTTTTGGGCTGCCGATGGGTTCCTTCTTCATGTTTAGAGCAAGCAGTACGCAATGCATACATCCATATTCCCTTTTTTCTTTTGTTTTGTTTTTGTTTTTTATTTTATTTTATTCATTTTTTAAAATTTCATATTCCCTTTAAAATGAAGAGTTCAGGGCTCCAGTAATGCAGCTGGTAGATGCAGCATTGGGGCCCAAATCCTGGTTGAACCACCCTCAGCCTCCTCCTCTGGGAAGAGGCTGGATTACATGTTCCCTAATATCCCTTCCAACTCTAACATAACTTGAAGCAAAATTCTGCAAAAACCGAGGGGAGGTGGTCAAAACATTTTATACAAAACCAGGACATGCTGTCTGCATTCCAATGGGCCAGAGGCAGGTGCATGCCTAAGGAACCCTGTCGGGAGGCAAAGGGCTGTGGGAGACCGGAGGGAAGAAGGCAGGAAGATCCAACTTTGAGACCACAACAGACAGCAGGTAGGGGAGAGTACTGATGTCCTATGGCCTAAGCCAAGTGCTTTCCACACATGATGGCCTTGATGGGTGTCAGTATAATCCTCATTTTAAGCTGAGGTGTGAGGAATGTTCAACCACATCGGTTGCCCTTGATGGTGAATGCTGAAGTCTGACTCTGAGTGTGGGTATCTAGAGCCTACATTCTTTTTTTTTTTTTTTTTAGGTTTATTAAGGAGTCTTTATTAACCAAGCTTGGTGTAATAGAGCACACTAGAAATAGCAAATAGCAAATCACAAGCAAGTCCATATGGCACTCCAACCAGTCATAATCCAACTAAACATAACCCCAAGAGGAACAAATGGTCATTACCCTTAAGTCCATCCATTAAGCTTAAAACCTATGTCTCAACTTCCCCAACAATATGTTATCATAAGAGACATGCAACAGATAACCTGGACACACTTACAAAGTTGCAGACATTCACCTTTCCCTGGCTTCTCTGCCCACATTCCATCACTGCTAGGCCTCATCTCTCCTGGAACTCCTGATAGTACACAAACCAGAAATGGCACTGCTATCTCCATTGTCCCATCTAAGCAGTACACAGGAACCATGCTCAGAGGATTTCCTGCCCTGGGTCAGCCAAGAGTCAAGGTGCCAGAGCAATGGAAACACCTGATCTAAAAGAGAGAGTAGAGCCTACATTCTTAGCCACCAAGCTAAGCACCCTGGTTCTCACCCCTCAAGGCACACCAGAATAAGCTTGAAGCAAATCTGAAGAATGCAGATTCCAGGCTACAGGCCCTTAACTTCTTCTATTGTTTCTCTCCGGCTTGGGGGTGGGGTGGGGTGGGGCTAGGCCTGGGAATCTGTATTTGACCTAATAAATTACCCAGGAATGTCTCACACAAGCATCCCGCCAACCCCAGAAAGGCCATCTTGGTTCCACAGCCCTAACCTGCCTGAAAGTAAGAACTGACCAGAGTTCTTATTATAAGCAAGAACTCACAGGCCCTTGACCAGGAGACCCCAAGGAGAGTCCCCACGCTCCAGCTCCAGCAAGGTTGGGAAACACCAGGCATCTCTGTGGCCACGGCAACACTCCAGGCTGCAAACGGACTCTGAACACCATTTTCTTAGAGGCCAAGTGTGGTGCCCATAGAAAGCAATGGCCTCTTTCAGAACACGGGCGTGTGAGGGAAGGACTGACAACCCACGGCCCGGGCTGTCAGGACATCGCCTCAGCAGCATTACAGAAATGTTCAACTCCTCACTGTCCGGTTTCCTAAAGAGGCTGCACTGCCTCGGCCCTGGTGTCTCTCCCTCTGGCCTGGCTTTCTGCACACCTGTCCTTGATCTCATTCTTGGTTTTGGATCAGTCATGGCTGACTGGGTTCCAGGAGAGGAGTCCTAACATTTTGGAGGTTCTGTGTGGTACCGCCAGCTGATAAAATGTGATCACAGCCCTGATACAGATGCATGAATTTTCGCAAGGTTGTTGTCCAAAGGAGGCATGGGAAGGCACTCTCGTTCCTCCAGCTGCCCCTTCTGCCTGCTCTGCTGCCGGGCACACCCCACACTCCTTGCTAGTAGAAGACTTGTGCCTCGCCCCCAGAGTGCAAGAATCGATGGTGAGTGTGGTGGGCAGGGCCTGGGACCCATGACTAGGCACCATCCTAGCACTCACCCCATTGCTGATGGAATAGCCAGTAGTTCTGAGACATGATCCAAGATGGCCAGCAGTCAGGACTCTGGAAAACCCAGCGTGGCTGTCTAGGTGGAGCTTGTAACTGCAGCAGCAGGCCCCTGGCGATGAACTGGAGCATGGTAGATGGCCTTGGGTGAGCTCTGGAATGAGAGGGATCAAGGGTTAGTGAGCACCTGTATGCTGTCTCATTTCATTTCTACAAAAACTCAACAAGGAGGGGGGAGTGGTGTCTGGGAACTCTTTCATTGCTGGCTTTCTTTTCCCCTCAACTTTGATTATGTACAATTTCAAACTCACAAAAGTGGGACAAGTACTCATAGGACCTGCCCCACAGACACCAGCACCTCAACACATGCCCACACCTGTTGTCTCTTCCTCTATACCCACACTTGTTGTTTTTTGTTTTGTTTCATTTGGGGGCTGGGATATTTCAAAGGAAATTCCAGGCACCCGGTATCCTTCCATCGCGTCTGAATTCCAAGGCTTTACCAAATGAAGACTGATTTTTTATTATTATTATTATTTTTTTTTTAATTGCAAAGGCGGATATACAGAGAGGAGAGACAGAGAGGAAGATCTTCCGTCCGATGATTCACTCCCCAAGTGAGCGCAACGGGCCGATACTATGCCGATCCGAAGCCAGGAGCCTCTTCAGGGTCTCCCACGCGGGTGCAGGTTCCCAAAGCTTTGGGCCGTCCTCGACTGCTTTCCCAGGCCACAGGCAGGGAGCTGGAAGGGAAGCAGGGCTGCCGGGATTAGAACCGGCGCCCATATGGGATCCCGGGCATGCAAGGCGAGGACCTTTAACCACTTGCGCCACCGCGCCGGGCCCTGATTTTTTTTTTTAAACACAACCACAGAATCACCGTCAAGCTCCACAGAATAATTTCTTAAAATCTGAAAGCCAGTTTGAATTTGCTTTCCCAAATTACCTCAGGAATGTCTTCCGTAACCGGTTCTTGATCAGGACCCATGTGAGGCCCACACATCACAGCTGACTGACAGAGCTCCTGAAGCCCTCTCTCCCCCGGAGTCTGAGAGGCCCCTCAGGCATCCACTGAAGAAACTGGACTGCTTGTCGTGGGTGGGTGCAGTCTCCTGGGGCGACTGGGGTTAGGTGCACTGCAACACCCTCCTTTCCTTTGTGGGAAAGATTCTTGGGACTGCCTCTACGCGAAGTCACCAAGCTTAAGTCCCATGTGCCGCTGGGACATGGGAAAGCACGTGGAGGCAGCCTGTGACACTTCAGGTGAAAGCGCTTAATTCAGGACGCGTCAACCTGACTTGATACACTTCAGCTGAGGAACGTTAAAAAAAAAAAGTTATCTCTTATGTCCTGACCCAACCTTCCTTGGTTAGAATGTTGCCCTCCTGCATGTTTGAAGGCTCCCTAGTTGTAAGGGCACTCCCGGTTCGCCACTTCTCTGGAGTCTTGCGTGAGCAACTACCCCAGCCTGTTATGGCGCTGTTTTCTGACGCCACTTCCGGAAGCTTGCTCTGCTGTCCCACCCATTTCCTTTAAATGAACCAACCACGGAAGTCAGTGGAGGTCAGTGGATCCTACGCTCTGTGGCTCCTGGGGCAGGGGGAAGACTCCCAAGGCTTCCCAGACCCCTCCCTTCCCTCCCCTACCCCGAGAGGGGCAGGCTACCAGACAGATGGGGAAAGTGAAGTCCTAGGCTGGGAAGCTGTACATCCTGCAGGTGGCGGAGCAGGCGGGAAACCAGGACTCTGCATTTCTGACGGTTCTCACGGGGTTCTACCTCACGACCACTCTTGGAAAATGCTGCATGTTGGGCCCTGTTCTGTCGTCTCATCTGCCGAGCCTGGCTTGTACCCCTGAGAGAGCTCAGCATCATCATAGCATTGCTGAGTGTGTGTGCCAGTGGCCTTAATGCAGGGGGGCGGGGGAGGGGTTCACTGCTAGCAGAGGAAGTCGTGGAAGGCTTCATGGAAGATGGGCATTGAGCTCAGCTTCTGAGGAATGAGGTTATTCACCAGAGCAAAAGGGAAGTGCCTTTTGAGGGAAAGGGGACAGAGCCGATGAGGAGCACAGGGAAGACTGCTGGGGACTTGCCCAGAGGCCCAGGAACTCAGGAGCATCCTGCACCGGGAGGCTGGTCCTCCCTCACTCATCACCACCCTGCTGATTCACAATGAGCCCTCTGCCTTGTTGTTCTCCCTATTCTTACAAGGCAGGCAAAGGGGAAGCGGTTTGAAATGTGCTGCTATGACATTGCAGCATCAACTCTGCTCCTTAGAGCAGACCCCATTCCCAACCCCTACCTTGCAAGTCCTGAGCTCTGCTCCTTAGGCCCGTTCCCTGGTTCCTTCCCACAATCCACCAAGGAAGCACCTGCTCAGGAGGCTGAGGCCTGAACAGCTTGTCCCAAGTCAAGGGATCAGCCAGGAGCGCAGCCAGGGTTGGACCCCAGGAAGCAGAGCTGCCTTCCGCTTGCTTGAGCTGCCCGCCTTTGTTTGGAAAGGAGTTCAGCGATGAGGTCACAGCTCCCTGCTGCCAGGTGGACCGGACTTGAGGAGGGAGCTGGGGGTGGCCTGGCCTTCTCCCTGTCAACCTGTCCTGCCCCACCAGAAGGCCGGCCCCAGGCTCTTGGCCAGCCTTGCTCTGTTCTTGCCCATCCTCCTTCCTGTCTGCAGCTTCAGATGCAGGTGATGGTGGCTGAGAGGCAAGCACGCACCTCCCTCAGGCTGGTTCTGCCCCAGGGGCTTCTTGGCTTTTCCTGAGACTTTAGCCAGGAAGGCCAGATCATGCACAGCCCCACTTGGCCCTCCCTGGGCTTGGGTAGGGCAACTGTGCCAGTGATGCTGGGACCAGGGTGGACATGATGACTCCAGCTTCTGGGACCTGGAAGCCTCCCTGGACTATGAGGGAGGCAGTGTGTGCTACCAGTAGGCTGTGGGGTGGGCCTGAGGGCCAGGAGATACCATGTTCAGGGGCCATGCAGATGCCAGAGATCACGGCAAGCAGGGGTCTGTAATCGAACCGACAGGAGTCCAGACTGGGGCTGCCACAGCCTACCCAACTCCCTGCCCTCTGTATTTCTTTCCCAAAGCTGGAGCTACTTAATCTCCTCCCCGCCCCGCTCCTCCCCACCCCCCAAATTCAGGACTAACACAGAAGCTCAGGGAAGCTGGCCTTAAGAGGACCCAGTTGCTAGATCGCCACTGACCCTGTGCTTATACCAAGAGTCAAACTTCCATCTCATGCAACCACATCACCAGCCCATGTCACACACCATCCTTCTCAACAAGCAGGTGGTCTTACTTGGTCCTCACACAGCATTTAGGAGTTAGGTATGACTTCCACAATTTACACATAACACTAAAGCTTAGAAGGTAGACCTCCTGGCCAGGTTTACAAAGTCGATAGGGGTAGAGTGGAAGGTGAAGGTGGTGCCTCCTACTCTGGAGCCCACGCCACTCTGCAGCATGTGCCATACTGCCACCTCCGTTCACAATCTAGGTTCTGTGTCCCACTTCCAGGCCTGGACTGTGTACCCATATACCTGTGAATCCCTCTACCTCAGTGTTGGCCCGTGGTTTGTTCTTCCAGGACCCAAGTCTTGCTGACTTGGAATTGTGCTGTACCCAGGCAGTGGCCTGCCCTGGTCCTGAAGTGGGGTGCCAGTGGGCTGCTCCCCAGGACTTTCCATTGGTGCTCACCACCTCCACTAGGGTACAGATGCTTTCTGTCTCCCACCTGGACCCTCGCACCCGCCTCCATGCTGACCTCACTGGCCCTCTTGCCTTTGAGCCTTGCTCCCCCTCCCATCATCCTCACAGCCCAAGCCAAAGTGATTTCATCCTGCTGCTGCCCTCGCTCCTGCTGAAGCCCCCCCACTGTGCCTGCTGCTGGCCAAGAGGCTGCTCCACATTCCTCCATGGGCATGATGAGGCCCCACTTGCCAGCCTGGCTGACCTCAGCTCTCCCCTGCCCTCCCCTCAGGCTTTGCTTCAGAGCCAAGTGGAATGAAACTGCTTGTACCTGGACTTGTTTATAGTGCTCCCTCTGTTAGGAGGAACCCCCTCCCACACCTTCTCTTTTGTTCCCAAATCCATTCCTGTGTATCCAAGACTTAAGCTTGCCCTGAATATCTTCCTCAAAGCTTGCTTGAGCGCCCCCTGAGTCTCCCGTGAGCCCTACCCCCTACCCCGTCCCTTACAGACACCTTCGGAAGAACCTTCTCTCACTACATCCAACACTCGAGCTGGGAAGCAGGGCTCCTGTCCCATCTCCTCCTGTGTATTCCCAGTGGCCGGCATAAAGGCCCTGGTCACAAGGTGAATGCTGAGTCTGCTGGATGGGTGGGTTAACTGATGACCTAACTGGATGCCCTGGACACTTTCCTACAGGCAATGACCTCTTCCTGGTGGCTGTGCATGAGCTGGGCCACGCACTGGGCCTGGAGCACTCCAATGACCCCAGTGCCATCATGGCGCCCTTCTACCAGTACATGGAAACACACAACTTCAAGCTGCCACAAGACGACCTGCAGGGCATCCAGAAAATCTATGGTGAGTAGCAGGGCCCATGTGGGTCACGCTGGAAATGCTCCCCCTTCTACCAGCCTTCCTCCAGCAGTGCCCTTGAAGGGAGGCCGAGGCATGCCTGGATGGGACTCCAAGGAAGGGCAGACTCACCTCTCGCTCTCCTCTCCCTAGTCCTTCTGCCCACCTGTGCAGTCCTTCTTGTTGCCACCCAGGGACTGGGCTGTCTCATAGGTGCTACCCTAGCACAGGAGAGCCACACATCTATCCAGTAATAGCAATACAACACCATGGGAATTATGACCAGAACTCTGAGCTTACAAAGGAAAAATGTTATAATGTTCGATTGCCATCTAAATGAGCTGCGAAAAGCTTCCTATTGGGCCTGTCTCCCAGATAAGGCCCCGCTTGTATGTGAGCTTCCAGTTTAGCCAAGGTCAGCTGAGACCTGCTTGCCAGCACAGTGTAGAACCCACCTCCACAGGTAACAGAGGACAGGTGAGGGAGACAGGTCAGGAGCCAGACAGTTCAGACACAGTTGGGGTGAGGGGACACAGAGGAAGATCAATGCCAAAGCCAAGGTTTCTGACTTTTTCAATTTTCAGGGCAGCAATAGGATTTATCAGTGGTCAGTTCATAGATATCCGGGATCCAGTATAGTAACCACTGCCACATACCAGCAATGAAGCTTACACATGTTAGTTAAAATAAAATTGAAGGGCAGGCATTTCAGCATGGGTTAAGCTGCCACTTGGGATGTCCCCATGCCCCACATCAGAAAGCTTGGTTCAAATCCTGGATACTCCATTTCCAATCCACATTCCTGCTGACACACCATGAAGGAAGCAGATCGTGGCCCAAGTCCTTGAGTCTCTACTACCCACATGGGAGCTGGAGGTCTGGGCTCTCAGCATTGGCCTGGCCCAGCCGCAGGTGATGCAGGCATTTGGGGAGATCTCTGTCTCCGCCCCCAAAACACACCATCACTCTGCCTTTCAGATACATAATGTTTTAAAGATTTATTTAGTTTTATTGGAAAAGCAGATTTTACATAGAGAAGGAAAGACAAAGATCTTTCATCTGCTGGTTTACTCCCCAAGTGGACACAATGGCCAGAGCTGAACCAATCCAAAGTCAGGAGCCAGGAACTTCTTTTGGGTCTCCTGTGTGGGTGTAGGATCCCAAGGCTTTGGGCTGTCCTCTACTGCTTTCCCAGGCCACAAGTAGAGAGCTGGATGGGAAGTGGAGCAGAGGGAACACAAACCAGTGCCCATATGCAATCCCAGAGCATGCAAGGTAAGAATTTAGCTACTGAGCCATCATGCCATGTCCCATAATCTTTAAAAAATAAAAATTTGGTTCCCCAGTCACACTAAGAACTCCACTGAAGTGCTCCATAGACACACATTTATACACCTGGATCACTCTGTGGGACAGAGCTGATGCTGAACACCTCCATCGTTGCAAAGGCAGCTGGATAACTCTGAGAGGATCCCTAAACCCATGAACCTGTGTGAACAACCTGCAGGAGGGAGTCTCAGCCAGATTGCCCATTAGAATCACACTTGGACTCTAGGGGAAAATGCCGATATCTAGCCTCACCCCTGCCCCACATCCTCCCAAGGATTTGATTTCAGGTGACTCCTGAGAATTTTGAAGGCTTTAAATTTGTTTAACGATTACTTATTTGGGGGCCAACCTAGTGGCTCAACAGGCAAATCCTCTGTCAGCATCCCATATGGATGCTGGTTTTAGTCTCTGTTGTTACACTTCTGATCCATTTTCCCTGGCCCGGGAAGGCGACAGAGGAATCCTTGGGACATCCGGAAGAGGCTCTTGGCTTCTGATTTTGGATTGGCTGAGCTCGAGCCATTGCGGCCATTTGGGGAGTGAACCAGTGGATGAAAGATCTTTGTCTCTCCTCTCTGTAAATCTGCCTTTCCAAAAAAATTTTTTTAAAAGTAATAAATACATATCTTTTCAAATACATGGTTATTTGAAAGGCTGAGTTACAGAAATATCTTTCATCCATTGGTTTTCTCCCCAGATGGCAGCAGCAGCCAGGCTGACACCAGGAGCTGCTTCTTGGTCTTCCACGTGAGTGGCTGGGACTATACCATCTGGGCCATTTTCTGCTACTCTCTTGGGTCATAGCCAGGACCTGGATCAGAAGTGAAGCAGCCAGGGCTAGAAGTGGCAACTGGGTGGGATGCTGGCATTGCAGGTGGTAGCTTAACCCCCTGTGCCACAATGCAGCCCTGAGAATCTAAAGTGTTAAAAGCTTCCCCAGGTGATCTTATTACATAGCCCAGGATGGGAAACAGCAACCTTGGGACAAAATGTAGAGAGAAAGGAGGCCCTGGGGCTGTAACTACGTGGACATGAGGGCAGGGATTCAGATGATGCATCCCTGCAAGCGTGCTACTCAACAAGCAAGCCTCAGCCCAGTGACACAGGCAGGACACAGGCTATCATCTGCATCTTGCCAAGATCCCTAGATGAGTTGTCTGCCTATCCAAGTTTGAGTCCAGTGACCACTTGATAGGGCCACGCAGGGGTCACTGGTGAGCATGACTGAGCTGTCTGAGTCACTGAGGCAGAAGTGGTACTGAAGTGAGATGAGGAATCAGGAGCTGAGACTGGGGCATCCTGTGGCGTGCAGTGAAGGAACAGGACACAACTTGGCTGTCCTTGGGAAGGGCATGTATGCTCTTGGAACTAGAAAGGAAAAGGAGAAGAGGCAGGATTGGGGAGGCGGGTCGGAGGGTGGGAAGAAATATGGGTTCCCTTTTATAGCTGTTCTGTTTTTTCAACACTTGAAGGAGTAAGACTGGGGAGAGGGGACAAGAGGCTGGAGCTGCTGCCCTGCCCCTCTGAGAAACAGCCTTTTCTCTAGGACCTCCAGCTGAACCTCTGGAGCCCACGCGGCCCCTCCCCACGCTCCCCGTCCGCAGGATCCACTCGCCGTCAGAGAGAAAACATGAGCGACAGCCCAGGCCCCCTCGGCCACCCCTGGGGGACCGGCCATCCACGCCAGGTGCCAAACCCAACATCTGTGATGGCAACTTTAACACAGTGGCTCTCTTCCGGGGCGAGATGTTTGTGTTTAAGGTAGGGCCAGTTGACTGGCAACCCTGCCCTGGGGGTGGTCTCTTCCTGTTCCTTCCCCAACCCCAGCGCCTGGAAGCCTCCCGCTCTGGGATTAGGGTCCTGTGTGGTCTGAACAGGAGCTGACCCAGTGGCCAGGCCTCAGGATCTCTTCTTGGCTCTGCTGAAAGGAACTGCTTGTTTCCAAGGGGCCAAGAGGAAAGGATGATGGTCCTGCACTTTCATGGGGGTGAGTGCTGGGGAAGATGCCGGAAGCAATTCCAGGTCCATGACCTTGAGTAGGTCCTCTTCCCTTTTCTGGGCCTCAGTTTCACCACTGGAAACATTGGGGAGTCACTGCTCTAGACAGATTAGTGCCTGGCGAAGAAGATGGGAGTTCCAGACTTCCAGGAGTTGGGGCTGGGGTGGTGCCGGGGTGGGGAGCCGGAGATTCCTGAAGCAATGCTGCCCAGAGTATATCCAGTTTGCCCATAGGCTGACCAGGCAGCAGCTGCCCTGAGATGCTGCACTGGATTCCCTGACACCCAGTTGGAAGGTCAGTTCTTGGGAAGAAGAAGGGTCAGGGGAGAATGTCCTGGCCATCTCCACAGGGAGTTCTGGATCTAGAATGGTCTGTCAGCCCACATGGGACCCAACATGACTGGACCTTTATAACACCTTGCCTCATCCAGGCATTAGGGATGTGGGGGGACATGACCTTGAAAGAGGCTTTCTGGAGCTGCAGCCAGCCCCTTTGTGGAGGGCAGTGAAAGCTGTACTCCAGGGCACCTGGGCAGCATGCCTCCCTTGCCCTGGGTGACTGAGCACAGCCTCTCTGTTCCCCTTGGGGAGACCTTTCCCAAGGTTTGAAGCATGAACAGGAAACAGGAACAGGAGCCAGCCCCCAACCTGCCTCTCAGGGAAGGGTTCTGGGCAAGGCGCTTGGCCTTTCTTAGGACTATATGTCTTAGATCAACTTAAGAGTTGTGAAGTCAAGAAGAGTTAAACTAGACACAAGAGTGCTCTGTGATACACCCTGAAAGACATTAGCTTTTGTCTGTTTTTGTTTTTTTTTTTTTTGTAAGATTTCTACATTTTTATTGGAAAGGCAGAAATATAGAGAGGAGAGACAAAGAAACAAGTGGCTACAATGGCTGGAGCTGAGCCAATCTGAAGCTAAGAGCCTGAAGCCTCCTCTGCGTCTCTACATGGGTGCAGGGTCCCAAGGCTTTGGCCCACCCTCTACTGCTTTTCCAGGCTACAAACAGGGAGCTGGGTGGGAATTGAAGCAGCCAGAACACAAACCAGTACTCAAATAGGATCCCAGCGCATGCAAAGCAAGGATTTAGCCACTGAGCCATTGCACCAGGTCCGGATTTTTTGCCATCATTCACAAAGCACGCTCCTTCTCTGCACCTGTTTGATCCTCCTGACTGAACTGTTTGCTGACAATTCCAGCTTTTATCATCTCCATTCTGGTCCAGGGAAATGACAGGCCCTGCCCAGACTGCTGGCCAACCCCAGGCAGCGCTGGAGAGGAGAGGTTTTTATTGTACTCTTGTAGGTTTAGCCGCCATTTGTTCACCTGGGACTGTGTGGCCACACTCTTCTTCAAGGTACTTGACCTATAAGCTCTGCTGTACGCCTCCCTCAGGGCCCCTATTAGCAGCTAAAATGCAGCCTGTGACTCTCTGCCATCCTCCTGTGACCAGTCCTCTCCTTTTCCTATGCTGGCACCCCTGGCCTGTTGGCTTACTGGGACTTAAGACTTCAAGTTAGGGTCCCAGGGGCATCCTATCTTCCTGAGCTTTGCAAGTTAGACGCAGGCACTCTCCATGCAGGGTTGTGAGGCTGGGCTCAGGGAAAGATGTTGAGTCAAGCCTGAACCCCAGAGCTAAGATGACTGGGTTGAGACACTGAGCCTGTGATGACTCTTTCTCTCCCTGCTTCCTTAATCCCCAGGATCGCTGGTTCTGGCGCCTGCGCAATAACCGTGTGCAGGAGGGCTACCCCATGCAGATCGAGCAGTTCTGGAAAGGCCTGCCCGCCCGCATCGATGCGGCCTACGAAAGGGCTGATGGAAGATTTGTCTTCTTCAAAGGTAAAGCAGCCTGTGTTGTGGGGTTCCCGGCCCCTCTTGGAATCTCCTTTTCCCATCTGAACTGGAAGAACTGGGCTGGGAGGGAGATGCTCTAACTGGACCCTTCTGGCCCTGACAGAGTCACTGAGGGCTAACGGGACAGTTCCCATGGGCAGGTGGAACACAAGACAAGGAAATCAACTTGGGAGGGACATGACAAGGTTGACCCACAAGATGTAGAGGTAGGTCAGGCTTCTGACAACCAACATTTATGCCAGAACATTCCATTAGGTGTTTCAGAGCCCAGAGGGAGGCTGGAGTGATCAAAGAAGGGAGGGCAGGAGATATGCATGTGTCTACCCTGCCCAGCACTGTGCTAGTTGCCTCATGTTGATTGTCTTGACATGGGCCAGGCCTAAGATGACCAAGACACAGCTAGTGAGAAGATAGCAAGGGACTCCAATGGGACACAGTATAGGCAAAGGAGCAAGGATGGAGAGTGGGGGGCAGTCAAAGGCTGAGGAGACCCTCCTGACAGTCACCTGACAGCCACAGAAGCCTCACCTTAAAGAAATGAGATGTGGCCTGGAACGATGTTGTTGTGGTCGGTGGGCAGAAATCCCAAAGAGAATTGCCTGCCAGGGACCTTGGAGCAAATGGCCACCCAGGGGGGCAGAGGCAGGGAGGCAATCCTGGAGGAGGGGGCTGGAGCTGAGGTGAGTAATATCTGCAAGGCCCAAACCAGGCAGCAGCCACATGTGAAGGGCAGAGGACAGCTGTAGGGGAACTCAAAAGAACTCCTCAGGTGCCAGCTACCGAGCAGGGAAAGAGTGCAAGAAGGTGGAGCCCTAGGGGGCAGGAGGTGAAGAGGAGGACTCCAGGCAGCCAGCTGGCTCAGAGCCAGCTGGGGCTGTGAGAGCTCAGGGCACCTGTCACTGGTTCTCAGGTGCAGTGGGAGAGTGATGTGAGATGTAGCCTCAGGACCAGGTGTCCCTGGGGGACAGGTGGGAGAGCAACCTTCTGTGTGAGGTCACTGCAGTGGCTGAATTCACAGGAGGTGCGAAGCAAACCCAGAGAATGGGGCCCAGAGCCCAGGAGTCAGGGCCACGACACACAGGGTCCAGGATGAGCTCCTGGCTTCTTGCCACCATGCTTTCTCTGGGGCAGGGGCCAAAGCGATTCCACAGGTCTGGGGCTTCATGTTCTCTGCCACTGGCTTCATAAAGACGGGCAAGTGGCACTGGCTGCCACCTTTGGCCCAAGTGACTGAAGAGGACAGAAACTGGACTCTTCTGCCCACAGGTGACAAGTACTGGGTGTTCAAGGAGGTGACGGTGGAGCCAGGGTACCCCCACAGCTTGGGGGAGCTGGGCAGCTGTCTGCCCCGTGAAGGTATCGACACTGCCCTGCGCTGGGAGCCTGTGGGCAAGACCTACTTCTTCAAAGGCGAGCGGTACTGGCGCTACAGTGAGGAACGGCGGGCCACAGACCCCGGCTACCCCAAGCCCATCACGGTGTGGAAAGGCATCCCCCAGGCTCCCCAGGGGGCCTTCATCAGCAAAGAAGGATGTAAGTGAGAGCTGGGGCGGGGCCAGGCTGGGCCGGAGTGGGCTGGGTTGAGCTGGACCAGGGCGGGCCCAGCACGCAGCACATGGCTGATTTTATGTGGTTCTTGCAAAGTCCATGGAATATACTCAGGATCCTCCAACCTTGAGAGTGATAGTGGGAAGACAGCCTCCTCCCAGCTACCCACATGTTCACACAGCAATTAACTTGTTTACCCGGTTACCAAGACCCATAGGTCCATCTGCAGGATGGACTCCCACCTAAGAGATGTTTTTACAGTCTGACTTTGTTCCTTTCAACAGCCATTTCTCCATCAGTGGCCCTCAGGGCCACTCTAAGGGTTCCTCAAGATATCAGATCTGAAACACAATGATGGAGATGGGTAGTTTCAAAGATACCTTTCCATGAGGTTTAAGGGGAGGACATTGAGGAGAGAAACTCACATTTTCTAAGTGCCTCCTGGAGGCCAGGCAGGCAACCAGCTGCCACGACCGTCATCAGAGCTTCACAGCCTGTCTCTCGTTAGCACACCAGGAGCTCTCCAGAGGAGCGGCGAGGTCTTGCTGTGGGCAGAGTGTGCCCCCGTGAGTGCTATGTACTCTCTGTGGATTCAAAGCATACACTCTGGAACCAAGCTGGCTTCCATACAATCCATGTCACTGAACCTGTTTGCACTCAGTTTTCTCCATGTCTTCATCAATTTGATGGAGACAGAACGTAATGATGGCATCTGCCTACACATAACCCTTTGTGAGGGTCAAAAGACGCAGAGCACTTAGAATAAGGTCTGGCACGGTTTGTTTTGTAAAGTTCTGTTATCACCATAACATCACACGTGGGTATGATTCTACTGATGAAGACTGACACGGTTCATCCATTTGGTTCGCCATCATTACAAAGAGCCGGCTATTATAGAGAAGGAACTGGGGTCTACTAGCAAGTAAGACTTGCGTGGTTGACAGCCTGGTGGCAGAAAATAAGGTGGTAACAAATGTTGTACGGGAAATAGGAGTGAGAAAGCAAACAAAGAGGCAGAGAGGACCGCTAGAGAAAGGCTCTCCAGGAAGGCAGTGCTGCTGTTTGTTGACTGTCCTGTGTGCCTGTGTGTTGGCTACACATGTGGCCTCCCTTTTTAGGGGAGCCTCAGTGACAGGTGACATCAAGGACTTTGACCAATGAGATCCCAGCCAGGGTGGAGAATCAGCCAATAAGGCGAGTCTGGGCCAGCTGCTCTGCTGTGGGCTGGTAGTGCTGTTAAGGCTGTTGCCGGGAGCCTGCAGTAGCTGCCCAATGAGGGAATTGGCAAAACTACCCAGCCTGCGTGCCTCCTTCCTTCCCAGCCCCCTGAGAAGGGTCACTGAGCCAAAATCACCCCTGAAGACAAGGCTTGTGGTGCCATGGCCTGGCGTCTGAGCCCAGTTCTCAGCAATAAACCTTTGAACTGGGGGCTTTTGATTTGACCTAAAAGGCCTGGAGGCCCACTGTGCACAATGTGACAGCCACATGCCCAGGCTGAGGGTCCTGAAACATGTCCCAGTTATGCTCCAAATGCCTCAGTGTGTTCCCAGAACCTTGGAGATGAAAAGGGGGGCCCTGTGCAGTTGCATCATTTACTCCACCCTGCACCCCCTCCCGGCCTAGGGCAAATGCACAGCAAGCACTTGGGAGTGGTGATGCTGGGCCATATTTCCACAGATTATACCTACTTCTACAAAGGCCGGGACTACTGGAAGTTTGACAACCAGAAACTGAGCGTGGAGCCAGGCTACCCACGCAACATCCTGCGTGACTGGATGGGCTGCAACCAGAAGGAGGTAGAGCGGCGGAAGGAGCGGCGGCTGCCCCAGGATGATGTGGACATCATGGTAACCATCAATGATGTGCCAGGCTCCGTGAACGCCGTGGCCGTGGTCATCCCCTGCATCCTGTCGCTCTGTATCCTGGTGCTGGTCTATACCATCTTCCAGTTCAAGAACAAGGCAGGCCCTCAGCCTGTCACCTACTATAAGCGGCCAGTCCAGGAGTGGGTCTGAGCAGCCCAGAGCCCTGTCTGTCCACCAGGTCTAGCCATCCAGGCCCTTCCTCACCAAGATCTGAGGGGCAGCTCTGGCCATAGCCCATTGGGGTCGTATAGCTGGAGTGATGGGTGCACTGGCCTAGGCTTGAGTGTGGGATTGGGAGTGATGAGGAGCTGGCGCCAGGGTGGGCTTTCCATCCTGGATGTACTACCCTCTATCTGAGGGGACAGGCCAGGCCCCCTCAGGAAGCAGGGACTATCCCAGGAGGAGGCCCTGTGGTCACTGCCTCCTGTGGTGTCCAGGAGGCACCACAGCTCCCTTCCTGGCTGGAACCTAGCACCCTCTGTGGGAAGCCAGCACTAGCTCTCATCCCCCATCTGGGAGATGCTACCCATCCCAATCCCCTTTTGCCAACACCTGCTGGTCAGATGTCCCCCATACCACCCCATACTGCCCTCCAAGGCTACACGACTCTTGCTGCCGAGACAGTGGACAACAAGCCTGGGTTTCCCCTGCTGGCAGACGGCAGATCCCTCAGGAAACCTACTCCATCTGTCAGGGTCTCCCCCCAGACCCAGGATTGAGGGTCATGTCATGTGCTGCCTGCAGCGGGGCTGTGGCCCAGCTGGGTCTCACATTGTATTTCAATGTCCTGTCACTACTATTTAAAGTCCCATTTTGCAAAGGCTGCTTGAGGCTCTAGGTAAGTGAAGAGGTGACTGTCTTGGTGACAAGGCCAGTGTGGCAGCCTTCCCCGAAAAGCAGTATGACCCAAGGTGCTGCTGAGGCACCCAGACACCCAGCAGTCAGGGCCCTGCCCCAAAGCCCAGGAGCTGGCACAGAAACTGACCCTATTTCTAGAAGCCAATCCGAGTTTGTGGCCGTCCTTCTCTCTCTGCCCATTGTCCCTGTCCCATTTCCCATCATAGCCCTGCTCTAGCCTGCCACTTGTGTCCTCAGGGCTTAGGGACCCAGGACAGCCTCTGTGGTGCTTAGCACCCAGAATCCTGGCCACACAGAGGCAGCGACTCCCTCTCAGCCCAGAAACAGTGTTCACAGCGTGCGCGCAGCCCTTGGGAGCCCTCGCCGCCCAGCTCATGGGGCCCGTCTTCCCACACCGCTCTTAGGAAGAGGGCCCCCACCTGGTAGTGGCTCCCCACTTAGGGGCCTTCTTTGGCTCACCCTTGCCCTCTGGTGGGAGTCCCTGGGACTCAGCTTGCCTTGCTGCAGTCCGGCAGAGGGAGACAGCCCTGCCTGCCTGCTACTGAGGAGCTCCAGGCAAGGCCAGTGGGCTTGGTGGTGTCCCCGGTTCTCTGCCAAAGCCACCAAGAGGTGCCGGACCATCTGCAGGGTGCCAGCAGGGTCTCAGCTGCCAGGGCCTGCAGAGACCCTGCCCCAACCCTGTGGTCTCTAGGATTTGGGTTGGCTTACCCTGTAGCATGGGCAGCCCTGGGAGCTGTCTTGAGAAAAAAATCTCAGAGGCACTGTGGGTCCACTGTGTCCCCTGTCATCGTCATCCTGTTTTTTTATTTTAGCCAAGGGCAGGCTCCCTGGGGCAGGCGGGCAACAACTGCGGAGATATTAGTGACCCATAGGTTTGTATGGTGTTTTATACTTTGCAAAGCACTTTATTAGCTTACACTGTCCACTCCCATCAAACTCGTGGGGCCCTGAAAGGCCAAGGGCAGCTCTCCCTGTGCACCGCGCCCTCAGAAGGGTTCTGCAACTTGCCCAGGCCACTCCAGAATGGCCGGGACCTGTTTCCATCCTCCAATCCGTCCAAGGTCTGGGAGCAGCAGAGGTTTCTCTCCTCTGTCCATCTTTTCCTGGCCTCCCTTGTCCCTGTCCACTCCTCAGGTTGGTGCTCTCACTTCTGGGAACGCTCTAGGCGCCCTTGGGCTCCCCACTGGCCCCTGGTACTACCTAGGCCAGCTGAGAAAGCGCAAGAGATGAAGGTAGGAGGCCGTGGCTGCACCTGTTGGGAGGGAGGGGTGCAGAGCCACGAGGCCTGGAGAGGGCTCAGCCTGGAGGCTTCCAACCCTGGATTTTCCTGCCTATGGTCTTCTGTGTGTCCATCACCCAGGACAGGGCAGCCAGGCAGAGGGGCCCCAGAGCCCAGCTTCCCCTCAGCCTGGGGAATGCCACCGCATTTCAGTGTCGGTCACATTTTAAACTGATCAGCCTTTGTATAATGTTTTTTAAAACATTTCTAAATAAAACAAATACAGAATCATGTCGTTTTCTTTGGGGTGTGGAACACATGCGAGGTTCCAAGGGTGGCCCTCTGGGAGAACAAAGTGCTGCTTGCTGCAGGTCACCTGCCAAGCCAGCAAATTTAACAACCCCCTCTCGGTGAGCGGTTGTGGACATGGTGTCACACCCAGGACTTCCAGGAGGCCGGACCTGCCAATGTTGCACACAGGAAAAGCTGCCCTAGGCCCCCACACAATTGAAGCACTGGGGTGGGGAGAGCACGCAGGTCTGAGCCAAGCCGGGTATGGGTGCAGGCTGGAAGGTGCACTCGTTCAGGGTTTGAGGCAGTTCCTGTCCCGGAGACAGCCCTGCTGGACCTTCCTTCAAGTCCCCTGCGACCTTCTGAAACACTGGTGGGAGCCAGGTCCCGAAAGCCAAGTACAGGGAGAACGAGGCAGCGGGCGGCATCTTCCGGCCAGCAGCCGTCAGTACCAGGAGGTGCAGACGATAAGGAAACGCACATCATCCAGCGGCCCCCAAGGTCCGAGCTGCGGCTGGGGCGCGGGCTGCTCCGGGCCCGTTTGTGCTGCGGGCTGGGGCTGCGCCGGCTCTGGGGCGCCCTGGCCACCGCTCAGCTCAGCCCCCATGGTCTGCAGGAAGAGAAGCATTTCAGCCTTAGAGCAGTGGTAACCCCCTGCTCCCCGACCCAAGGCAACTGGAGCCCAGGCCACCCTCCATCTCGGCCTCACCTTACGCGGCAGAGCCTCCAGTCCTGCTACCTCGGGCGTCGGGAGGAGCCGGCGTCCTGACGTCACAGGCCCCGCCCCCAGCCACGGGGGGAGGGGCCCGAAGAACGTGACCGAAGGATCCCAGCCTGCAGGACGAGGCTCCGCCCCCAGCCCAGGCCGGGGAACCAGGGCGTGTCCGGAACCCCATACACATCCGACCTCTAAGATGATGGACCCGACAGCCAGGCCACCAGCCTTCATCCCCTAAAAACGCACTGAGGCTGAGCGCCCACGCCCCCGGATCGACAAAGGGGTGTTTGCTCCCATCTTAAGCAGGACGGACAGAGGGATAGAGTAAGAGTGCACACGCGTGCCTGTGTGTACGGAGTATGTGTGTATGTGTGTGTGTGTGTGTGTGTGTGTGTCCATCCCACCTGATCTCCCCAGAACCCTGGACCGGCAGGGGGAGGTTCTGCACACAGGCTCAAGTCCCCAAACATGACAATCAGACCAGCTGGAGACAAATGCCCTTTAATGCGATGGCACAGGAGAGCTGAGCTCTCAACCCGGAGCCAGAGGCCCTGACAGCAGCAGGACGCAGCAGGTTTGCAGGAACAGAGCTGGGCTGGGCACCCACGGGGAAGGCCTGCCACCTCCCTGCCAGCATCCAGGAAACGCTGGGCAGGTTGCGGAAAGGGAGCCAAAGTCCACTGCATGGCATGGAGGATGACTCAGGTAAGGCTGGAAAGAGAGTTAGCACCGTCAGGAGCTGTTTCACAGGGGGAACCTCACCTCTGTTCTCTCAGCCCTTCAGAGCCTGTTCACAGCCCCACCCAGGGTGCAGGTCTGACAACATCCCATGACCTAGTCCAAGTTACAACTCTCAGTGCTTAAAAAGGCCAGAAGTAACTTTCCCCACTCAAGTGGGCCAACTTCCCCAACTACTCAGACTTCAGTCATCAAACTTTAGGGTAAGCTCAGTGAGGAAGAGACGAGGCCAAGCCCCAGCCCTCGGGCGGGACCCAGGCTGAACTCTGCTCTCCCTCCTTACTGCTTACTAAGCTAAATGGGCATGACCACCACAGGAAGGCAGACAACTGAATGGGGTGGATGAGATAAAAGCACTGTTCCTGGCAATCACCGCTGGAGAACAGTGTTTAATCTCCTCCCACCTTCATGTTGAGGCTTCACGGGCCCAACCAACCAAGGCAGGGGAGGGAGGCTGCTCTCTTGGTTTCCACTACCTCTTTGAATGATCTGACTGCACAGGCCAGGAACACCACCACAGCCCCTGCCACCATACAGGAGACCAGAAGGGGCTCAGGGTTGCCCTGGCCATTGTGGCCATTTGGGAAGTGCGATTATTTCTCCCTTTAATCTGCAATCAGAGGCCTGATGTCGAACTAACACACCAGATTATCCTCCATCGCTGTGGAGCTTTGAACATCAGGTAAACCAGAGGATGAAGGAGGGAGAATGTAGGTGCTACTTGGCATTTGCTCAACTTGGGAATTTCTAGCCTAATGAAGGTTCCTGTGTGAACTGGGTGTGATACATCCAGAGAAGGATCTTCAACAGTGGGGAGAGAGGAGGCTGAACTACTGAGCACCTGCTATTACACCAGAAGAGACTCTGAAGCCTCATACCTCACAATCTCCAGTCACAGCCCTGCAAGTGTCTATTTTTTTTTTTAAATCTCTCTTGGGCAGTGAACCAGTGAATGGGAGATCTTTCTGTCTCCTTTTCTCTGTAAATCTGCTTAATAAAAATAAATCTTAAAAAAATAAATCTCTCTCTCACACACACACAAACACGGCGTGGGGGGGGAGGGGGGAGAGGAATTCAACTGGTTAATACTCTGCCTGCAAGTGCTGGCATCCCAAATGGGTACTGGTTCAAGTCCCAGCTGCTACACTTCTCATCCAGCTCCCTGTTTAATGACCTGGGAGAGCAGAAGCTGGCTCAAGTCCCTGGAATCCTGCACTCGCATGGGAGACCTGGCTTCAAATTGGCTCAGCTCTGGCTATAACAGCCATTTGGGGAGTGAACCAGAGAATAGAAGTTCTTTCTGTCTTCCTCTTTGTAAAGATTTGTATTGCCTTTCCAATAAAAAAAACTTAAAACTCTCTTCTCAGTAATTGTCATGTATTATTAATAATAGCAATAAAATAAATCACAAAAGTATCCCGATTGTGATTTTGACGCCATAGCTATCTCCAACCAGTCCAAGAGCTTCCTTAGGTATCCAGTCTCTCCTCAACCCTTGTGTCTCTAGCCTGTTGGCTTGGAACAGGCAAATACAAACTGCAAACTGTAGTAGTCACTGGGGCCAGCGCAGTGGCCAAGGACTAATCTTCTACCAGCAGCAACACACATGGGCACCGGTTCACGTACTGGCTGCTCCACTTAAAATCCAGTTCTTTCCTTAATGACCTGGAAAAGCAGTGGAGGGTGGTCCAAAGCCTTGGAACTCTGCACCCACATGGGAGATTTGGAAGAGGCCCCAGCTTTGGATTGGCTCGGCTATGGCTATTATGGCTATTTGGGAAGCAAACCAGCAATTGGAAGACCTTCTCTCTCTCCTGTAGTCACTGATCAAATAAGCTCACAGGAAAGGTCCACCAACACAGAGGCACCACACTGAGTCTTCAGAGTTGATGAAACACCCACTGCCTGCACTTGGGGCTGCTCAACAGTGTGCAGACACACTCTCCCACTTGAAAATCTACCAGGACAGTGCAAGGTGGCTCTTGTTCTAGGTGACACTTTCTCGCCCTACCTGAAGGCAACATAAGCTCACTGTGCTGGGCAAAAAGAGGAAAAGCCTTAGACACCTGTCAATGAGGGAGTCCCGCATGCTGGTGGCCAGGGTGCTGGGCTGGGCCTCGTTCAGCTTGAAGACGCTCTCCACCACCGACAGCTCTGTGCTGGTGGTGTCCAGGCCACAGAAGGCACACCAGTCATTCACCACCATGCCAGCAGCAACCACCTCACTGCCCCGGTTCACAGTGCCCGCCTGCCAAGGGAAGAACACAGTATGAATTACAGCATCCAGAGCCAAAGTCTCCCCTCCTCATGATGACAGGCCCCAAGCCTTGCTTCTGCCCTGCAGTCAGGATCCCAAACTACTGCAGGTCAGAACTCAGATTCCCAGGCACTGGGCAAAGGGCTCTGCTGACCAAGAGACCAGGGTCAGGGGACGGGCAAGCTTACCACCAGTGGCACCTGAAGCAATGAGGACAACTCATCCTGGTCTTCTATGGACGTCTTGGGGTGCACCAACCCCCCTTGATTGCTGAAGACACAGTAGCTTCCTACTAGCACCTGGTCAGCCACAGTCTGTCTGAAGACTTCCACCTTGAGCACATCTGCCAGGATTTCTTCAGTCTCCTGTCAACCAAAAGGACTATGCAAAGGGCCAGAGAACCAGGGACTGTATGACACAACTGCCCAGGGCCCGGCTTCCCTAGACCCTCACTTCACCGCTAGGTCACTGCGCATGAAAACCTCACTGTGATAAAGGAGCAGCAGACACAGCTGAGAGCAAGGTCTAGGCCAGCACTGGAGCTCCCAGTATCCATGCATGCCTTCAACAACAGCCAGAGGCTGGTCTTCATGTCATCTTTTTCCCTCAAACCCACAGTTAAAGATTTCACATGTCAAACTTCTGTCCTGGCCCAGGCTTCAGCTCTGGACGTGTTCATCCCCTCCAGGCCGAAAAGATCCGTTCACGTCCTCAGCTTCTGTGAGACACTGACCACACCAGGAAAACCTTCTATTATCACTCTCCCAAAGAATGCCTAACTACCAGTGTCCACCTAGACAAAGAAATCATAGTGACACTCTCAAACCCTGCCTTTCGGCCAAGTATAGGTGCTAGCCACTGGTGGGCAGGCATGGTAGCCTAGCAGTTGAAATCTTGGCCTTGCACAAGCCAGGATCCCTTACAGGCATTGATTCTAATCTGGGCAGCCCCTCTTCCCATCCAGCTCCCCGCTTGTGGCCTGGGAAAGCAGTCGAGGACAGCTCAAAGCCTTGGGATCCTGCACCCATGTGGGAGACTCAGAGGAGGCTCCAAGCTCTTGGCTTTGGATCAGCTCAGCTCCAGCTTTGTTGTGGCCACTTGAGGAGTCAATCAACAGATGGGAGATCTTTCTCTGTGTCTTTCCTCCTCTCTGTATATCTGACTTTCCAATAAAAATAACATAAATCTTAAAAAAAAAAAAAAAAAAAGCTAGCCACAGGCCAGGATAGTCCTGTATGTAACCCTTGGGCCAAACTCAGCTGCCTCACCCTGTCCAGGTCTGGGTGAACCAAGGCCACGTAGTCATTGCAGGTGGTAACATTGCCCAAAGCCGAGAGCCGCTCCTCTACCCGCCGGATCTGCACGGAGTCTGGGAGGCAGTTGCGAATGTGTTGCAGCTCCTGGTCAGTGGTGTTGTTGGGCACCAGGAGACCGTGTCTGTTCCCTGGAGAGACCCAAATCAGAGAGTGGGGTATAAACGGTCATGAATGCACAAGACAGCTCCTGGGAGCAGAGGATACAACCCAGCCCTGCCCAACCAGCCTTCCCAGGACAGCTTCAGGCCCAGACGCCAGGCCTCTAACCCATCAATGCAAACAGTTCCAGGAGACCGGAGCAAAGGATCACTGGGGCAGCCTGGAGATGGCTCAGGGACTTTGGCCAAGGAACCTTGTCCGCTTCACTATCATCAGCCAGAGGGAGCAGGACTAACAGGAATGGTTCTTGGCACCAGCTGTAAATTCAGCTACCTAAAATTAAAATTCAACTAACAGCACAGCCCTATGAGAATGACATTTTAAATGTGTTTCAGAACCAAGTGTCAGCAAACACACAAGGATGGAGTGAAACTTTCTTGTACTCTGACAGGAGTATAATCACCACAATACCACCTACGACACAGCCTAGGCTGCATAACCAGTGGCTCTGCCATGCCACTCCTGGGTATTCTAGATCCAGAGAAATCACATACAGCACTTATGCTCACTGAAATACAGCCCACACTATTCCTGATACACCAACTGCAAACAACCAAGAGAACAGGAAGGATGAATGCACTCTAACAGACTTACACAAAATGCTAAGAAAGAAGAAAACTACAGACTCGCTTTGATAACCACTGCTAAACCTTCCCCCCTACCATGCAGGAACACACTGCTCAGATTCTGAACTCTGAGCCACTAGCATCTGGAAAGGCATTACAGGCTGGACCGAAGGCAATATTCTGTGGGAACTCACTTCAAGCCCTGAGAGGATGGCTAGAGACCAGGGTGTTGTCCCTGAATCAACAAATGCTTAGATTAGACAGAGACACTTCTCTAAGGATCCCACTGAAGGAAACTCAGAAACAAGGGATGGCAGGAAGTGAATGCAGACCCGGCTTGAAGGAAGGACCAACGTCTGGGGTCAGGTGAGCTGAGGGTGGGGAGGCCACTCACAGAGGTGGTCCAACAGGGTTAAATGCAGCCAGAGAGAATCTGTGAAAGAGCCAGCCAGGGGAGGCTGGGCGGGAGGCAGGAGGAAGCAACCCGCCCGCAGTGGCGGGGCCGGGATGGGGTGGGAATCACCTGCCATGCACAGGTGGACTAGGTGTGGAGCTCGGTGAGTCACCCAGGCATTGTCCTCTCCGCTTCCTCCTCCGACTCCTCACCCCCATGTCTTGGTGACAGAGGAAGGAAACCAGGAGGGAAGGCACCTGTGGCTGTTATTATAACCAGGATGGCTGCCGTCCTGGTTCGGCTGTCACTTAGGGTCCCCAGGCGCCTCCACACTGTCTAGTTCCCACAGACAACAGAAGTCCGGCGAAGCCGAGGTCACGCCCAGCCCTGTCAAAGAAGCAGGAGGACGCAGACGCGTGGACAGCAAGCCCCTCGCCCGCCTGCACCTGCCTTACCCACACACATGCGCCCGATGATGCGACAGCCGGCGATGGACGCGTGCACCACGGGGATGGTATCCGCGAGCTCGCCCTCAAACACGCTGTAAGGACAGAGGCTCGCTGGTCACGGTCCCCTACCACACACACCCCGCCGGCCCCCGGGGGCTCCCGCCGCACCTGTAGAAGTTTTCCGACCCGCCAATGGCCACCAGGCAGTAGGTGTTGGTCAGTTTGGCAAAGCAGCCGATTTCACAGTTGTTCTCGAACGACGCCCGGACCGCCATGAGGCCTGAGGAGGACCGCGGGGTCCGAGTTCAGAGCCAGCGGATCCTACCTCGCCCCTGCCCCCTCGGTACTCGCCGCCAGCGCGAGCCCCACCTGCAGCGCCTACCGCACTCGCCACGGGCAGCGCAGACCCGGCCGACTCTTCCAGGTCCCCTTCACACCCGCTCACCCGGTCACCGCAGTCTCCACACGCGGAATCTGGTCCTCCTAGCTCCTAAGCTGCCTTCCGTTTCCGCCTCGGCCCCAGGAAGACTTCCGGAAGAACGTGGCCCGCCCAGCCCACGCATGGGGCCGCTCTAGCTCCAACTCGCTAAAGGACTCTATGGTCACAGGTCACCGCACTGGCCACGCCCCTCGCCCGCTGGCTCTCGTTCATTCATTCCGCATTTTGGGAGTTCTCGGGAAGTGAAGCGTGAGGGAGAGCCAGAAGAGGGAATAGCTCAACAAAATGATGTTTACTGAAGGAAGAAAGGCCGGTCTGGGCAAACTGACCGAAATCCGGACTCCCACGGGGCCGTGAAGAGCGGAGGTACGAGAGTTGAGTCTCCCAGGAAAGGGCAGAAGAGGCCGTCAGAGTTGAGGACCTGAGGCTGGCGTGGGAGCTGCGCTGACATGCGTCCAAGGTGGATTCTGGCCTGTAGCCCACTTTGGTGCCCAGATGTTTTGTTTTGTTTAGATTTATTTATTTTTATTGGAAAGGCAGATTTACAGAAGAGGGACAGGGAAAGATCTTCCATCCGCTGGTTCACTCCCCAAGTGGCCACAACCGCCGAAGCTGAGCTTATCCAAAGCCAGGAGGCTGGACCCTTCTCTGGGTCTTCCACACGGGTGCAGGGTCCCAAGGCTTTGAGCCGTCCTCAACTGTTTTCCCAGGCCACAGAGAGTTGGATGGGAAGTGAAGAAGCTGGGACATGAACCATCACCCGCATGGGATCCTGGCTTGTGCAAAGCGAGGACTTTAGCCACAGAGTCATCAGGCCGCGCCCTTGGTGCCCAGCTTAACTGTGTGGGTCAAAGGCCCTGCCTACTCTACCTGGACCAGAGTGCTTGGCCCACACTTTGTAGATGCCATAACAGCCCCAGAACCTCTCAGAATGTGTGTGTGTGTGTGTGTGTGTGTGTGTGTGTGTGTGTGTGTGTGTGTAGGGGGGTGTTCTGGAACCCCTTGTCTCAAGCTCTCCTTCCACCATTCTCTGCTTACTCTCCAGGCACCCTGTCAGTGGCCTGACCCAAGCCCACTCTTTTCCCCAGATCCTGGAACTTCTCAGGATGTACCAGGCTGCTGCTGGGGCACAGCCATATCTGCCTTTATTGGTCTGAATTGTGTGTACCGTCCTGCAGGCAGGGCGTGAGCCCAAGAAAGGGATCCACAGCCATCTCAGACTGTGCTGCAAGACATCTGGGAAGAGGAATCCATGGGCTCTCATTCTCCCAAGCTCACTTCAAATCCACGTTCTCTGTCCTCTCTCGGGCAACTTTCCACTCAGTTCCCTCTACCCAGAATTCCTCTCATTCCCTCCTCCGTCTGTCCCAAACCTGCTGTTCTTCAAGGCCTGCCCCAAAGGCAGTCCCCTCTACACCCTGCTGACCAAGCCACCTCCTCATGGCTGACTCTTCTCCAGCTCCCTCTATCACTCAGCTCTGCCTTGGTTTCTTTATGCACCTAATTCCTATGCCTCAGGTCACAGGATCATTTGTTTATCGGACCTATGGCAGATGCAGCAAGGCTGGGAATGCAACTTACATTCAAAGAAATACTAGATGTATGTGTGTGTGTTGCATTCTGTGCATATCCTTGGTCTCTGGATCTTAAGGGTATCTACAGTGAGGACTGAAAGCATATGCTTTGTGTAGCCCCTCATTCAATCAAATGACACAGATGGGATACCTGAGTGTTTGTCTCCTGCTGTCTGCCTCTGAGCCTGTGGACCCTGTCTGTGCTGGGTGTATTGTATAGTGTTTGCAATGTCTGCTATTTTGAGCGTTTGGGGACTTGTGAACTGCGGGTAATGTGTGTCACATCTGTGTAAAAAGCACTCTCTTTAAAGCCAGAGAGACAGGTCTGGCAGAGGTCCCCTCCCCCCCCAGGCTTGGACCTGTCTGCAAAGAAGTCATCCAAGCTCTCTGGCCTCAGCTCCCACACTTATGGAAAGGAGGAATAATACCTATTATCTCATAATTATATCCCTACGAGAGGTCTGCTTTGTGGGATGTTGTGAGGATGAAGGGGAAGTCAAGGGTATGAAGGGCCCAGCATAGTCGCATGCAGTAGACTTTAGGTCACTGTGAGATCCAGTTCTCTGAGTGTGAGGCATACTTAACCTGGTATACTTAACCTGGACTTCTAGACACTCCCTGACATCTGACTCGGCCAGGTAGCCCCTGCCTCGTTTCCCCATCCCCCAAAGTCCAGAGTCCCCATAATTAGAACAGAGATCAGTCCCAGAGAGAAGCATGCCTAGGACTCAAAGCGACTTCGCAGCAGCTTGAACTTGGACTTATTGTACTTGGTGATGAGGTCCAGTTTGCTGTGGCCCAAGGTCAGCCGCTTCTCGTCTTCACGCAGGTCGTGGCCACTACCATTGCAGTGGCCTCCCATGGGGCCCCCAGGGAGGCCAGGTTCGGGTCCATGCCTGGCACTCTGGAACTGGTGATACCTGGTGATGAGGTCCAGCTTGCTGTGGCCCAAGGTCAGCCGCTTCTGATCTGCAGGGCCTGCCCCAGCCACACAAGCAGGACTCGGTCCTGGAAGAGCACTGGGTCCAGGTCCCTCGCTCCGGAATGGACCAAACTTGGTGATGAGGTCCAGCTGGCTGTGACCCAGGGTCTGCCGTCGCTCATCTGGACCCTGTTTCCCAGTCCTGGCTGAGGAGTTAGCTTCAGGGGGCACTCGGGGGTCCTGGGCCTTAGGGTACTGTGCCAGGAGGTCCAAGTGACTGTGGCTCTGGCTTGGGGCTGGCTTCCTGTCCTCTGGGGCCTGATCACCGAGTCTGAGGGAACCTGATTCAAACGCGTCCCCAGAACCCTGGGCTTGGGACAGGAGATCCAGGTGGCTATAGCTCTGGCTTGAGGACAACTTCCTGTCCTGGGGGGCGTGGTCACCAGGCTGAAGGGACCCGGAGTTAGGGCTGACTGCAGGGTCTGGGCCTCCCACTTCTTGGGCTCTAGAGAAGGGGACAAGCAGGTCCAGCTGGCCATGACTCCGGCTCAGACAAACCCTTTTCTCCTCCACTGTCTCCAGGCCCATGCCAGGTCCCCGAGGGCCTCGCAGAGGGCTAGGCTCTTGGCTTCCAAGAATCGCATTTTCTGGGAGTCGAGACAGAGCTGGGATACCCCTGGGAAAGTGGAAGAGGGGGCGGGGGCGAGTGCGAGGGAGCAGAGGTGATCCTACTGTCAGGGCCAAAGGGTTGGCACCACTGAGGTTGAGGGCAGGGGAGGACTGGGACCATGGCGAAGCCCCTATCTTGCCTAGATTGGCCCTGAAGGGCCCAGTGGAAGAGTCGTGGTTAGGGTCTGAGAGCTGGCGTTGCAGGGTGGATTGGCCACTGGCTTCGCGACGGGCAGGACCTGGCGATGAGGACCCCATCCCATCGTTGTCGCTGCAACCACGGCCTCCTGGTAGAGCCAGGTAGGAGGTGTGGCCCACGAGAGGCGAGTGCTTGATGCTGCTGAGGCTAGTACTGGACGGTGAGGAGCAGGTGGGGCTGGGCACACCAGGTCTGAAGGTTGGTGCCACGGCCGGAGGAAGAGGCATCGGAGGAGACAGCGGGTCCTCGCCACTGCAGAACCCCTCTACAGGCTGGGACTCAGCGTACAGACAGCGGAACTCCCGGTCGAAGTCCTCCACAATGCGGCCCCGCAGCTGCAGCACCATGCTGGTGTGGGCCTGGCTGCAGAGCCAGGTGAAGCTGGGGACAGAGATGTCTGGTCAGGAGGCAAAGTGCTGGGCCCTGGGGCTCAGTGGAAGGCACAATCTGGGGAATGTACCTGAAATTGGGAGCAACAAATCACCGCCCAAAGGGCTCACAACATGGCACAGGGCCCCCCACTTCCGAGTGTGTGCTCGTTCTAGCCCTGATCATGGGATCTGGGCACAAGATCACCCGTCCTGGGTCTCAGCAAAGAGGATCTCTGAAGTTCCTCCCTCACATTCTAATGTGCCAGTCATTCTCTGTGCCAAGGGATCTTTCCACTAGGGGGAGCTCTGCACACGCTCAGGGCTTGCTGGAAGGAATAGATGGCTAAATAGAGGCTAATCCAAAACTGCCAGATTCCAGTTGCCCTTACCAGCCTCCCCTTCATCCCACCTGCTCACCTGTAGCTGCCCACCACCACCTGCTCACAGTCAATGATGATGAACTTCTCCAGGGCCTGCCCAGTGAAGCGGCGGCCCGCCTTGCTGCAGTATGTGTCCCCACACATGCTCCGCACACGCATGTTCTGGACCAAAAAGGGAAGTGACAGGTTAAGGACTGACCTTGAGTGTAGATCTCAAGCCCCAACTATGCCCCACTCCCACTGTGCCACTGGTCACCCAGCAGGTTCTCACTGACCGGCAGGTGCCCCCCGTTGAGTTCCATCTTGTAGCACATCTCCAAGAAGTGCCTCAGGTGCTCCTGGGCCAGGAGGAGGTAGACCGGGACACCACGCCGGCTTGAGGCCTCCATGAGGTCACAGAGTAGCTCCATGTCAGTGAATACATCCATCACCACGGCCACCACCTGAAGGAGGGGGTGGGAAGGGCTTAGTCCTGCCCATGGTACTGCCCACATCCAGCCTAGTCAGACAAAAGTTAAGAGTCCCAGTAAGAGGGCCTGAGTTGGAGGCCAGAGCCCTCGAGAGTATCTGAACTTGAAGGGCTTTTCACAGTGCCTGGGCTTGACTCAAAATTGTTAGAAAGTCTCATAGTGTATGCATTTTTCTGTGGATGGCATGTGTGTCATCAGACTGACAGAGCTGTCTATCAAAGCCCTGCTCTGCACTGAAGCCCAGATGGGGTCAGCTGTCATGGGCAGGGCCTGGTCCCAACTGCCAGGCTTGCGCCTCATATTCTTCTCCCACTGGCTCCAACGCTTGGTCAGGCCCATGGGTTGCATGTCTGTGGCTCTGCTCTCAAGGGCTGGAGTAGCTGTCCCCTCTTTGCCAAACCTGCCTCAGTTTCCTTGTGAGGTGACAGAGGTCTGAACTCCCTGACTCATAATCTATGCTATGAGGAAACAAGTTTTCTGTGCCATTGAGAGCTGGGCTTGTGACCCACCCCTCCAAGAGGTCCCTGGGACCCCCTGGCACCTCCATGCTCAAGCAGCCCCTCCAGCCCCAGGCATATGCTGGCGGACTCTCCTCTCCTGGAAGAGCTGAAGAGCAGCTCTGCACAGAGCTAAGCTATGGAGCCCGGGGATCTGACTCTACAGCTGAACAAAACCGGGTTCAAACTCAGACTCTGCCACTTCCTAGTGACAGAGCCTTAGGCAAGTCACTCCACCTCCAGGGGCCTCAGCTTCCTCCTCTGTTAAATGGAGGTGATGACAGCCACATGCCACACGCCTGGGCAATACAACATGGACATGGTCGACATACAACAGAAGCCCAATAAACACTCTTTTCTGGCTGTCTTCTTCACCAATGAGGACATGGACCGCAGGGACAGGAGTCCCTTGGGATGGACAGCCCAGAGTGGAAGCCTGATTCCCAGCTCAGGAACGGAGGGGACTTGGTGGGGGCAAGGAGGCATGGTACTGGGGGATGCCCTAGTCCACACCACAGGTCTGGCCCGGAATGGAGGGAACAAGATCAAAGGGGCAGGTTGATGACAACAGCAACAGCCTCACTAATAACACTATCCTCGATGCCAATCAGGCTTGGCACACCCCTGCCTGGGGCACAGGCAGGCTTGCCAGGGAGGCTGCAAGGTACCGCTGGGATCTCAGCTCCTGCTTTCTGCTACAGGAGCTAGGCCCACCCTTGAGTCCTGCCTGGGGTCATCGTGTCTATTCCCCAGTCTTCCTGGCCAGAGGCCAGGGTTCTGGGAGTGATGTCATGCTGGTGTGTGGCTCGAGCCCCACCACTGCCCGGGTATCACCATCTCTGCTCACTCCTTCCGCATCTGGCTCCTGAGCCCAGCAAGCTCCACACCTCCTAGCTCCTCACCCCAGCAATCACAGCCCTCCTCTGCTTCAGGCCCAGCTGACACAGTGCAAGGGCATGAGGTGAGAAGCAGCAGAGGGGAATAGGGGCCAAAAAGCAAGGCTGGGCCTGCATTCAGAGACTCCTTTCCTGATCCCTGAGTTTTGGAGATCAGCACGCGGCTCAGATGTCCTCCGAGGTGGCATGGAGATCATAAGGCCTTTGGAGACCTGGACCCATCACTAGGAAAGGTGCACTGGGGGCCTTGCTTGCAGGATACGCTTCAGTTGCACCCTAAGAAACACATGGTGTCCCTTCCGCACATGCCCTGTTATCCCTGTGGCTCTTGAGGGCCAAGAGGCTACAAATGGAAGTGAAATATACGGCCATACCCTGGGAACGTGGTATCTCAGGCGGGCTGTATAGCCCTGGGCTGGTCCCTTTCCCTCCCTGTGGGACGGAAGAAGAGAGGAGGTCCTTACCGTGCGAGCTTGGCTGAAGAGGAAACGCAGCAAGTCCTTGATGTTCTTGGCCTTGTCCCGCTGGAAGTGGACCACGGCTTGGGTGGGGCTGAAGCCTGTGGCCTGCGGCACCTCGGGCCACCCCAGGTCCAGATCTGGCGGGTCCACATCGGAAGCCATGGGGAAGTAAGTGCCTGAAGTGGCTTCAGAGAGCAGGCTGAGGCGGTCAGGCCCCGAGGACTCTGGCCCGTGGGCCTCGCCAAGCTCCGGGCCGGCGCGCACATGGCTGGTCATGTAGTCCACATCCAGGGCACTCAGGAAGGGCAGTTCCCGCTCCTCAGAAATGACTCGCAGGTAGGCTGCCTCGCCCCGCTCCAGGAGGGCGTCAGCTGCCAGACGGGCAGCCTCACTGTGCTGCAGCACCAGGGGCGAGCTCTCCCGCCACCAGGGCCGCTTCAGTTCCTCCACCCGACCCCGCAGGGGGCCAGCCATTCCTTGGGCTGCAAGGCCTCCCAACATGCTTGCCCACCTGGCTCCCTCAGCCGCCGGCAAGCTCCATGGTCTGGACCCGGGGTTGGCTGCTGGCAGGAAGGAAAGCCCGGCAGGACCGCCTCTGTCTGCGTGTGTGACGGGGGCTGTGGCCTGTTGCCACCCTAAGTCAGCGCTGGGCTCCGCCTCATTGCCCCTGGCTTCTGGAACCTGTCAGGTGAGCCCCACCTGTCTGCCTGCTGTTGGGACTCGTTCAGAAGAGCAGCAGGGCCGGGCCCTTTGCACACATTGGTGCCTCCCACCCCTGTGTACCCTCGGGCCTCGTCCCACCATGCTGTTAGTAGTCCCTGGGCCTTTCAGGGACCCAGGGAGGTTGGATTTTAGGAAAGGGTGGCCCAGGCCTGCTCCAGGGTTATGTATGCACATGTACACACACTCAGGGTGGCTAAGAAACTCAAGACATCCAGATAAAGACTGGAACACATGGGCTGGCACATGCAGACCACGTATTTCTCTCAAACCCACCCACGTAGAACGAGACACATGCTAACCTACAGAGCAGCCACACCTCCCGCAGATACTGCACACACAGTGCATGCCCAGCTCTGTGCACACAGACCCAGCAATGCCCCACAGTCTTCAAGGACATCTGCCAATCCCTCCCTCACTTGCCAGCTCTCTCTACAGTTGCTTTGGCACTCTCCGTCATCCTAACTACCCCTGGCCCACCCTGACCAAAGTTCATCCTCCAGGGATCTAGAGCAGTGACCCTCACCCCTGGCCCCTCGGAATGGCTGGGCAGGGCTGGGCAGGGCTGGAACACAATCTCCTGTATCTGCCTACCCTAAGCCAGGAGGTCTGAGGTCCTTGAGAAGGTCAGCATGGATGGCACACCAAGTTGCCACATCCCCAGGGGCTAGCCTCAAGTCTCTTTCCCATTCTCCAGGGCTGGGTATCAAGTGCTGAGAATGCAAAAGGTGGTTTTAGAGGGTGAGCAGACGCATGGCAAGGACAGGAGGCAAAGAGGCAGGTGTCTCTTCTCTGCTCCAACAAGGGCCAAAGGCTCAGAGCACATACAGTCTGTGCTCGTCACACTAGGAGAGAAGCCTGGCTATGGGGAAGGGGGCAGCAGGTGGCTGGTGCAGGTGGCCAGAGCAGGTGGGGAAGCAGGCCAAACACATGTCATGATCTCCCTCTGGAGGGATGAGGTTGACAGACAGAAATCCTGTCCCACAACCCTGTCCTGACTGCTCTGGGCTCATCAGAACCACATCTGGAGCCCAGGTCCTGCCTGTCCATAAGAGCTCTGCACGGGTCCAACACTCACACGCCTGAAGAGAGGACCAGGGGGACTTCCAAGTTGCCTTAGTTGAGCTGAGCCCCAGGACCAGGGATGAATGGGGCTGAGGTATGTCTGGGCGGAACCTAGAGGTGAGAGGTCCGGGGACATGTGGAAGCCCCAGGCTGGGAGCTGCAGAGCCAGGCCTGTCACCTACCCCTTCCCAGAGGCAGGGGCAGAAACTGGAGCACCAAGGCTCCTGCCAGGAGGGCCCTTCCTTCCCTGCCTTCCCCCATCCACCTGGGGAGGCTGCCCGGGTGAGGGGCAGGGGGCTGAGTAAACAAAGCCTGCCGTGGGCGGGTAATGAGCTGTGGGGGCAGCTGAGGTGGCAGGGCCCTCATTAGGGCTTTATCTAGAGGTTGGTTGGAAGGGGAGCAGCCTCCTGGCAGGTGGGGCAGGTGTCTTGCCATGTTAATTGTGTTTATCCCTCCACTTCACCATACCGGTTTTTGCTTCTTTTTAACTATGGTAAAATGCATGTTACCTGGACCACTTTGGTTGTGTTTGCTGCATTCAGGTTAGCTCCCCGCCATCCCGTCCTCCAACCCACATACTGTTCCCCCTATAATGTCTCCAGAACCTTTACCTTTCAAAGTTCAAGATTTGTGTCCACTGAACATCAACTCCCTATTTCCCCCTTGCACCAGGCCCTGAAAACCACATTCTTTATATGAATTTGGCTGCTCCAGACACCCTATTTAGGTGGACTCTCACAGTGTGTGTCATGACTTGCTTCACTTGCTAGAATGTCTTCAAGGTTATCCATGTTATAGCATATGCTGGAATTTCCTTTTTGTTTTAAGGCTGAATAACATCTTTCTGTGTGGGTATATCTCATTTGGGTTCTCCATTCATCCATGGACGGACACTTTCATCCATCACTGATGGGCTGCTTCCATTGTTTAAAAAACAGTATTTGTGGGGCCTGCACAATGGCTCAACTGGTTAATCCTCTGCCTGCAATTGCTGGCATCCCATATGGGTGCCAGTTTGCATCTTGACTGCATCACTTCTGATCCAGCTCCATGTTAATGGGCTGGGAAAGAGCAGCACATCGGCCAAGGCCTTGGGCCCCTGTGCCCACTTGGGAGACCCAGCAAAAGCTCCTGACTCCCAGCTTTGGACCAGCCCAGCTCTGGCCATTGCAGCCATTTGGGGAGTGAACCAACATGTGGAAGATCTATCTCTCTGTCTCTCCGTCTCTCCATAGATCTGCCTTTCCAATAAAACCAACTAAATATTTTTTTTTCCCCAAAGTATTTATTCGAAAAGCACAAAGAGAAAGAGATCTTCCATCTTTTTACTCCCTAAATACCCAAAACAGCCAGGGCTGGGACAAAACTGAGGCTAGAAGCTTGGAATTCAAACCAGGTCTGCTGGGTGGGTGGCGGGGACCTAAGCCCCTGAGCCATCACCTGCTGCCTTCCAGTATGTCCATAACTCAAACCCAGGCACTCCAACATGGGATGCATGGGTCACAAGCTTTGTCTATCTATTTGTTTGAAAGACAAAGTGATAGAAGATGGGGAGAGGGAGAAGTCTTCCATCCACTGGTTCACTCCCCAGTTGGTCACAATAACCATGGTTAGGCCCATTGGAAAATACATGACCGGAACTCCCCTCAGGGCTTCCCTGTGGGTGGCAGGAACCCAAGTACCTGGGTCATCACCTGCTGTCATCCCAGGTCCATTAATAGGAAGCTGGATCAGAAGCGAGGCAGCGGGACGTGAACCAGGCACTCTGATATAGGAGCGGGTATCCCCAACAGCAGCACAATCAGTTGTGCCAAAATGTTGGCTTTCCCCAAGCTCTAAGATTTAGTTATTTGAAAGACAGAATTAGAGGGAGAGAAAGAGAGAGAAGTCTTCCATTCATGCCTTACTCCCCAGATGACCACAATGGCTAGGGCTGGGGCAGGCTGAATCCAGAAGCCAAGGTTACCCACGTGGGTGCAGAGTCCTAAGTACTTGGATCATCTTCTGTTGCTCTCCCAAGCACATTAGCAGGGAGCTGGATGCCTGCCCTATTTGCACCTTTTAGCTACTGTGAAAAATGTTACTTGTACATCTGTTAGAATTTTACAGTTTTTGAATATCTTCCTTAAATTTGTGCTGGGTTCAACTGAAAAAAAAAAATTTACTTGTTTGAAAGTCAGATTTACAGAGGAGGACAGAGAAAGATCTTCTATCTGCTGGCCCATTTCCTAAGTGGCCACAACAGCTAGAGCTGAGCTGATCTGAAGCCAGGAGCCAGGAGCTTCTTCCAGTTCTCCCACGTGGGTGCAGGGTCCCAAGGCTTTGGGCTGTCCTCTACTACTTTTTCCCAGGCCACAAGCAGGAGCTGGAAGGGAAGTGGGGCAGCCAGGAACTGGCACCATATGGGATACCAGTGGATACAAGGCGAGGACTTTAGCTACTAGGCTATTGCACTCGGCCCTGGGTTAAATTTTTATAAATAATAATAAAAAAAAATGTCTGGGACTGGTGTGGTGGCTCAGCTGGTTGTTGCTGCTAGCAATGCTCCCAGCCCCTATGGAGCACCAGTTCTTGCTGGCTGCTCTACTTCCTATTCAGCTCTCCATCAGTGTTCCTGGGGAGACAGAGGAAGCTGTCCGTGGGAGCTTGGGATGAAGCTCCTGGTTTCAGCCTGACTCAGACCTGGGTGTTGCAGCTATTTGGGGAGTGGACCAGGAGACAGAAGATCTTTCTGTTTCTCTGGTGGATAGTGGCAATTTCATATTGTTCAACTAAGAGTCTGTGCAGCTAAGCCTAATGAACTGAGGACACGTGTACTTGCTGTCGGGGACATGTGCTTGCCTGCGTGGTTGTTTTGGATTATCAAGCTGCACAGCAGTGCGTGTGCACCTGTTGGTGTGGAGGTCTGTGTGCCGGCATGTCCAGGGCAATCTTTGGTGTCTGAACTAGGAACTGAGTCTGTTTCCAGGAAGCTCACGTTAGGGAAGCAGAGGGGGCATGGGTGTGGTGGTAGAGTATCAGGATGTGTGCATCAGATGTCCAAATGCCTGGGATTGAGTCCTGACTCATGTCTTCAGGCCAGCTTCTTACTAAGGCACCTGGGGAGGCCGCAGATGAGGGCCCAAATACTTGGCTTCCTGTCTCCCATGGGGGAGAACTGTTTGGAGTTCCAGATTCTTGGCTACAGCCTGGTCCAGCCCCAGATGTTGTAGGCATCTGTGGTATGAACCAGCAGTTGGAAACACTCCTTTTCTCTATCAGTTTGCTTTCTGATGACATAAATCAAGAAACCATTTGGATTGTATAACATATGTTCAAGAGGGGAGACTAAGTTGAAAAAGTAGAAAGGGTCCCCATAAGACCCTGACATGCTCATAGGAGTTTGTGAGCCTCCCTGTGGGCTGAAGGAATGGAGGGCAAGGTGAGGGCAAGGGTGGAACCTATAACTTTGGGTGAGGCCTAAGCGTGCTGGGAGCCATTCACACAGACCCAAGCCCAGGTTCTGGCTGCAGTGTTTGGGCACAGGTCCCTTAATGACTGTTATTAAGAGGAATGAAGCTATTTTCCTGTCCAGGAGCTGTGTCAGGCGCCTGCCTGGCCTCGTGTGGCCATCCTGGTGGCCATTTAATCTTGTCAGTTGTCTCTTACGAGCTGAGTGGCGCCTGGGTAGGTGACTGTTGTGTGGAGGCGGT